GTGGGGACCGGGGTGGCGGGGGGCGGTGCGGTAATGAATGTGGACGGGAGGCGGAATGAGCGATCCATCTTTGCATGGGAGGGGAGGGGGCCGCGGGCGTTCCCCCCACACACACTCACACACTCAATCAGGCGCTGTCAGACCTCCGGCCGCCTGGCATTTTGGTGAAGAATCTCTCAGCTAAAAATTGTTGTCAGTCCCATTTCCACGTTATCAGTGCGAGGGCCGAGGCAGCGCCCGGGGATTAGCAGGAGCGGCGAGCGCCCGCGCCCGCCATCTCCTGCCGATAACACCGGGCCTCCTGCCTCACCTCCGCCATTCATCATCTTTAGCACTGACAGCCCGTCCCCGTCCCTGTCCCCATCCCCTCGCGTTTCCCGCGTCTCCCCACCGTGCGGCTCAGCCTGGCTTCTGACCTCCCCGGGGAACGAGGCCGCCTGAAGAGGGACAAGATGGAGCACCGGCCCAAATGACCGAGACCCACCTGTAGCACGGGGCTTGGCCGGCGATGGGTGGGAGGCCAGGGCAGGGGTAAGGGATGCTCCAGGAGAAGATGCTTTTCGACAGCCTGCCGCCAACGGGCTCGGCCTGCCTACCTGTGATTCCTGCATCTGACGGGCAGCGGGGCTAAGGGTTTCTGGAGGCCTCTCCAGCCCGGGGACTGTGGCAGGGGAGAGCCGGAGGATGCCCCCTCCCAGGCCGAGGAAGAGTAGGGGTCCCAGGGCCTCGTTCCCACCCCCGCAAGACCACGGCCCCCTCCTCTGGGCCATCCCCAGCGGTTTTACGGCCCATTTTATGGCCACTGTAATGGCCCAGGTCAAAAGCTTCAGGGAGCTGTATTCTGGGAATTATGCAAACGAGGAGCAGGCCTAGGGCCAGAGTATGGATTTTGTCATTAAACCTGGGCAGGCCATGTCGTTAGTGCAGTAAAACCCACGTCATGACCACAGGTCTCAATATAAAATTATAGGGAACACAGCGGGGGAGGGGAGCGGGCGGCCCATGGCCGCGCTGACACCTGCCACTCCAGCCCCTGAGCAGATGGGGGTGGGATGGAGAAAATAGGCTGCGGGGTTCCTCCGCGGATCCTGACGCTGGGAGCCAGGAAGAGGACCCGCTGTCCCAACAGGGAAACGGAGGCCGAGCTTCAGTTTCAGGAAAGGAGATCTCTGTGGCAGCAAGGCAGGTGAACTGAGAGCGGTATACGGAGGTGCTGAGGACTGGGGCCAGGCGTGGAGGGAGGAATCTGGGCTCTAGGAGCCCCAAGAGCCAGAGTTGGCATTCCAAGCCAAAAGGGGCTTAAAGCCTCACGTTTCCACCTCAGGCAGACCCCATGCCTTGGATCCCCCTCTTTCTCCAGTCTCCTCTCTCACCATTTCCCCCTTGAACCCCAAGCCTAGCTTCAGTGATCTGTTTCAACAGCCTTGTCAACCGTCTTATTCATCTTTCCCCTAGCCCCCAGCAGCCGTCCTCTGGCCCTCCTGCCCCACCCAGAGCACCCAGTCATGCCCCCCTCAGCCCTGACCAGGGCTGCACCGGCTGCAATCACTACCTTTCCCTTTCGGCTTCCACTAGTTTGTGATCTCCTCGAGGCTCAGCGTGTGTTTTATTTATCTCTGTATTCTAGTTTCTCCTGGAATAATACCTGAAGCAGAATAATTGTTTAAGAAATATTTGCTGAGCTTATAAATAAATGAGGCAATGAGGTCAAGAACTAAGCACAGCCGAAACCGGTTTGGCTCAGTGGATAGAGCGTCAGCCTGCAGACTGAAAGGTCCCAGGTTCGATTCCTATCAAGAGCATGTACCTTGGTTGCGGGCACATTTCCGGTAGGGGGTGTGCAGGAGGCAGCTGATCAATGATTCTCTCTGATCGATGTTTCTAACTCTCTATCCCTCTCTCTTCCTCTCTGTAAAAAAAAAAAAAAAAAAAAAAAAAAAAAAAAAAAAAAAAAAAAATCAATAAAATATATATATATATATATTTTTTTTAACATTTTTTAAAAAAGAAAAAAGAAGAAGAACTAAGCACAGGGGTCCCTTCCAGTCCTGAGCCTCAGTTTTCCCATCTGTAAAATACAGATAATGGCCTGGAGACTATCGAGGGTCTCACTCACCCTGAGATTCTCTGACTGAGTGAAGTGAGAGGCAGAGCTAAGACTCAAATCCCCATCTCCTCACTCCAGACCAGCGCTACACCTGCTTCTTACTCACCCTGCCTGCCAGCTGTCTCCTGAGCACCTGAGGCACTGCCTTGACACAGGATCAGGAGGGCCCCTAGCCCTCCTCAGAGACCTAGCCACACAGACTAGATAGAACCTTCGCTTCCCCATCCTGACACAAGCAAAGCCTCCACAGCTGACGCCCCAGCTCTGCAAAGGTCAGCTGGCTTCCAGCACAACCTGCTCTTCCTCCCGTCCTCTTCTCCTCTCCCTTGCTTCATCTTTGAGCATCTAGTCTGTGTCAGGTCTGTTTTCGATTGTCTATAGATATAAAGATGGATAAGAAATGGTCCCTGACCACAAGGAACTCAAAACTCATTCATTCATTCATTCATTCATTCATTCATTCATTTGCTCCCATTCTCTGCCTGGAACACTTCTAAGTCATAACTTAAATTTCGTTTTTTTGGTTAATCTTATTTTTCCCCCACTCCTCAAGACACATACCCAGAATGAATTACTCCTTCCTCTGAGCTCTCAGACGACTCGGTCAGGCATCCAGGAGAGCCTTGGTCATCCTCAGGCTGTGTCAAAGGGAGGCCAGACCGGGGAGCTCCCTCAGGCATAGCAGGACTAGTTTTAATAATAGCACATAAAAATACAGGGCATCCAGGTACATTTGAATTTTAGAAAAACAATGAATAACTTTCAGTCCTATGCAGCATTTGGGACAAACTTACACTAAAAAGTATTCATTCTTTATCTGAAATTCAAATTTAACAAGGCATTTTATATTTTTTAAACTGGCCACCCTCTCAGGCAACCATCTTGATCATCACCGGCACAGCTTCTTCTTTCTCAAACTGATTCGGACCTTCTCTGGGCCCCAGTGGGCAGAAGAGGCAGAGAGAAAAGTTCAGGCTTAGACTAAAGAAGACTTTCTACAGTGAAAGCTCACATGGCTAGGCAGGGATGTTTCTGGATGAATGGGGCTCCTCAACCCTCCACCTGCTAGCAGAGGCTAGCAGAGCCCTGGGTGGGGAAAGTGGCAAGGGAGAGGCGTTAGGTGTCCCAAAGGGATGTACTAGGCAGCCTTCAAGCTCCCTCCCAGCATGGTGTGCTCCGATTACTGCCAGGGACAGAGTGGGGACAGAGTTTAGGCTCCCAGCCAGCCCCAAGCCAGTATAGCCAGCACTATATGCATGTGCACTTATGTATTGGGAGCAAACAATTTGAAGGGTATTTTGGGGGGAGAGTCCAGAATCTGTGAGACCCACAGAGGCCAGTGAGGTTATCCAGGTGGGAGGTGGCACAACCTGAACCGGGAGCACATAGATTCCAGGAATATCGAAGGTGAAAACCGACAGGACTTGGGGGTTGAGGCACACGTTACTTGGCGTGGGCCACTAGGTGAATGCAAGTGTCACTAACTGAGATGGGCACTGCTGAAGGGGAGCAGGTATGGGGGGGGGGTGAAAAAGAGGAAAAACTCCTTTTAGGATTGTTGAGTTTTAGATTCTCTGGGAATATCCAGGCATTGGTGTCCAAAAGGTCTTTGGGTATAGGGCTCTGCAGAACATGGAGGGACCTGGGGTACAGATTCTGGAGGGCACAGGTGGGCATGAGGGCCAGAGGAAGGAACAAGGTCGTCCAGCATGCAGGACGAGGAAAGAAGGGGCTGTGGAAAGGAGGAGCCCTGGGAAACATGAGGAAGTGGGAGAGGAAGCCACCCTGAGAGAGGGCAGGCACCCCGGTCCTTTCCAAGCTTCTCCCCTCGACTCTGAGGGCCTCAAGGGCGGGGACTAGATCTGACGCTAGTCCGCATCCCACTGCCGAGGGTAGACAGCGGGCAGTGTTCGTTGAATGACTGCAGGAACGGATCCCCTTTCTCCCTCTTTTCTTCCTTCTCCAGATTTCGGGAGTGTGGAAGCAGTGAGGGGGAAGGAGAGACCTGGCATTCTGGGCGATGGTATGATTAAACCGAGACCTTCACTAACCTGTGTGAAATGAAGTGATCGAGGCTTGATTGCCTGGAGCAGCGATTTTCAACCTTTTTCATCTCATGGCACACATAAACTAATTACTGAAATTCTGTGGCATACCAGAAAAATATATACTTTTTGCCTATCTGACAAAAAATATAGATATCATTTTGATTCATTCACACCAGAAAGCTATTGTTGTGTTGGCTGTTGTCATCTTTATTAGTAGTAGTATTTTAAATTCTTTATTGTTTAAAGTATTACATGAGTCTCCTTTCTTCCCCTGTTGACCTCTCCTCGGCCTCTCCCACCCCCCAGCACATGCCCTCACCCCCCTCCTGTCTGTGTCCATTGGTTATGCTCATATGTATGCATGCAAGTCCTTCAGTTAATCTCCTACCCCCTCACTCCCCGCCTTCCCTCATAGGTTGGACAGTCTGTTTGATGCTTCTATGTCTCTGGTTCTATTTTTGTTCATCAGTTTATGTTGTGTTGTCATTTTTTTATTTGACAATCTAAGAGAAGATAAGTCAGTGGCCCCTGACTAAATAATCGGGTGTTGCATGTTTTAAAAATTCTCGCGCACACCGGTTGAAAATCGCTGGCCTAGAGCATCATTCGTGCCCCGGTAGATCTCTGAGAGGGGCGGCTGGCTGCGGAGGTGCGTGCACAGCCACCGCCTCTGGAGCTGCAGGGAGAGGTGATGCTCATGAGCTCCGAGACCCTCGGGCTCCCCTTTCTCAAAGCCAAGAAGCCCTAGGAGGCATTGGCAGGTCTGGGTCCGAGGATTAGGACGCTGGGTTTCCCTCCTCAGACGACCCCGCTTATATTTCTGTCTGTTCTTCTTCCCTCACCAGGTAAGAAAAAGGCAGCCGCATTGTTTGACAGCCAGGCCCCTATTTGCCCCATCTGCCAGGTCCTGCTGAGGCCCAGCGAGCTGCAGGAGCATATGGAGCAAGAACTGGAACAGCTGGCCCAACTGCCCACCAGGTAAGCCACGTAGCGGGAGGGCCTGCCTGCCAGCGGGACCCCCCTCAGGGTGCTAGCTACCGCGTCCCAGGAACGCCGCCGGGCCTGCACCCCAGCCTCTAGTCAGAAGGCGAGGCCCTGCTGCCGTCCTCCACTCCGCTCTCAGTCCTCCAGAGGACTAGTGCTGCCTCTCTCTTCCTGCTCTGTTTTTGGAGATGGGAGGAGAGGGACCCCTCTTCAGGAGCTAGAGAGCGGTTAGCCGCTGCCATGCGGAGCCTCGGGGCAGAGCGAGAGCAGCAGGCTGGTGCTGCCCTCCGGGGGAGTAAGCACTGCCTCCTCCAGGAAGCTCCGGCCTGAAAGGTGACCATCCTGAGACTGTTCAGGCGTGTCCCACTGCTGTACCCTCCTCCCCTGTCCCTGCCTCACGACCTGGGCGGAGCCTCCCGGACAGCCCTGTGGAGGAGCCAGGTTATCAAACAGAGCAGGGAGGGGTGTAACAAATTGCCCCACATCGTAGCGGTTTAAAGCAAGCATTTCATTATGTTCACGGAATCCGTGGTGTCAGGAACTCACACAGCACAGAGCGGGTGGGGTCTAAGGTCTGGGGAGACTCGATAGCTGGCAGCTGGGCTCCCCTGCAGGCTCTGTCACTTCCATGCGTGGTGGTTGATGTTGGTTGTCACCCGGGCCTTCAGCTGGGGGCTGTGACCGGAGCACCTACACATGGCTTCTCCCTGTGGACCGGGCTGTCTCGGAGCACGGCAGCTTTGCGATTGTTGGCCTTCTCATAGGGTGGCTTGGAGCTCTGAAACAGACGCTCTCATCAACGCTGTGGAAGCTGGGTCACCTTCCATAACCTCGCCTCAGAAGTCACCTAATGTCACCTCCGCTTCCTCTACTGGTCAAGGCAGTGTGAGCCCACCCAGATCCAAAGGGAGGGGCCCTGCACCCGCCGAGTGATGGGAGCAAGGCAAGCGCATGGGAAAGCATGGGCGATGGGAGATATGGCTGCAGCCATCTTTGGAAAAGACAGTCTGCCTCAGCCTGCCCCACCAGTTCAATTCAAGTCATCAAACCGGGCTACTCCTCCTTCCTGCCGCGCTCTCACCTCCCCGCTGTGCAGGGTGCGGGGGGAACCCCAGGGTGAATCAGAAATGCTGAAGCTCACTGTGTGGGAGTAAGTAGAACCAGGCAGTGGACACCCTGAGGGAGGGGGACTGCTCCTTGGGAAGGCCTGGAGCTGTGGGGGCCTCCAGGAGGCACCAGCCCAGGCACAGAGCAGAGGCGGCCTCCGGAGGGAGGTCAGGCCCACGCTGGATTTTGAAGGGAGATTAATTATTTCTCTATTGCCGTTATCCCCAAATTGAACAGTTTGAAACAACATTTATTATCTCAGTTCCTATGGGCAGTTCGGGAACGGCTTCGCCAGGGCGCTGCAGGGCGCTGTGGCTTCTGCTCAGAGCCTCCCAGAGGCTGCAGTCCTCTGAGGGGGCGCGGGGACTGCAGGGTCCGTTCCGGGGAGGGCTCACCCACATGGCCGGTGGCAGGAGGCCTTGGTCCTGCTCCCGTTTCCCTGTGACGTGGCAGCGGACTGCCCACAGAGGGAGTGATCCAGGAGAGGGACTCAGAAGGAAGCCACAATGCCTTTTATGATCTAGTCTCTGCTTCTCCCAACATAGTCTCCTTTACTCATTAGACACACGTCACCACGCCCAGCCCACACTCAAGAGAGGAGGGTAAGCCTATAAGCTCTACCTCTTGAAGGGAAGGGTACCGAGGAATTTGTAGGAATACTTAACACTACCACAAAAGACTATACTGCTAAGAATAATTATCCTGCTGAACACTCACCATGTGCCACAGCATATAGTGGTATCGCAATGCATTAATTTACTTAATCTTAACAACAACTCTCTGGGGTAAGTAATAATTTTAACTCCATTTTACAGATGAGGAAACCGAGGTACAGAGGGGTTAGGTGACCTCTCTAAGGTTGCACAGCTAATAAAATGGTAAAGATAAGATTTACACTCAAGCAAGCGATCTAACTCGTGTCCATGCTCTTCACCCCAAACACACACACACACACACACACACACACACACACACCCCTGGGACTCTCCTGGAAGGGCAGAGAGTGAACGGTAGCACCCTTCAGGAGTCCCACCCCTGGCCTGTGCAGACGGGTTTCTGGGTAATGGGCCCCCACTGGGAGACTTCCCCTCAGCAGGCACAGAGAACAGAGGCAGAGAGGGAGGGACCTGCAGAGCCTTGTAGAAGCAGTGCGCCCCTAAGAGGGCCTGGAGAACGGGGGTCCAAGCTTTCCTTCTGCCTCCTCTGTGGGAGCCACATTATAGCCTTGTCTCCAGGGCCCCGCCCCTGCGCTGCCCAGGACGCGGCTGCTCCCACAACCTTTCTCATCCTCCCCCACCAGGACCCTGCACCTGCCCTCCAACTCCCACGTCTTCTCAGAGCATCCCCTACTCTCACACCCGCACCCCCGCCTCCACCTCCCTCCCCAGCCCCCACACCCGCGCCGCCTCTCCGGTCCCTGCGCTGCCTCCGCCACTCCTGTGCCCTCACGTCCAGGCCCAGCCCCGCACCCCCTAACCTCTGGCACGCCCCCCACCCCCACGTCTGACAGCCGGACAGCGGGATCTGCACAGCAAGTGAAATTCCCGTCGGATCGATAAAGCCGAAGCGCTGGCGGCGACGGGTCGATGGTTTTATCTGTCTCGGCCCCGCCGAGCCCGACGCGCTGACAGTCGGACCGGCCGGCAAAGGCGTTCAAGGGCAGCCGCGCCCGCGGCCCCCTCCCCGCGCCCTCCCCGGCCCTGCGGCCGCTGCCCCGCCGGCTGCGGGCTGGACCGGCCGCCGCCGCCGCCCTCGTGATTTATCTGGATTTTTAATTGGAAAAAATTTGCGAATTAATTGATTTCAGGAACTTGCCAATTAACATTGTAATTGGGTGCGTGATAAATTCCCTAGAAGCGTGTCAGCTCCCCGCGGGCTGGCGGGGAGGGCCCAGCCTCGGCTGCCCTCGCCCCGCCCCTGCCCGCTCTGGGGAGGCAGGAGGAGGGCAGGGGCGGCTGGGGGAAGATGTGGCACCTGGTCCCCGCTCCTCCTCCAGCCGCCCTCGGCTCCCTGAGCTGGGAGTGGCCTTTTACCAGCCATTTCACAGATGGGGAAACTGAGTCTTGCAGGCGGGGAGAGCCCAAATGGGGGCATTCCCCCATCCATGGCACAGGGAGCCCAAATGGGGGCATTCCCCCATCCATGGCACAAGGCTGGAGGTTTCTTGCTCACTCCCTCCCCAGCACTTTCCCCTCCGCTCCATGATTCCTTCTCCTCTCTGCTCCCCTTCCTTCTGTCCTCTTCTCTCCAAACGTTCCCTTTCCTCTCTTCCCCTGCCTTTGCCTCCTCTGCCCTCCCTTTCCCCCCTCAGCCCACTCTGCCTCACCCAGGCGGGACTGTCCCTCCATCCAGGTGCTTGTTCCCCAGGAAGCCCTTCGGGGGGGGGTCTGGTGGTGTGCCCCCTCCTTCCCTGTGTCCCCCCACCCCAGCAGCTGCTATTTCAGATACCCTCCCCCACCCCTACCCCCCGGGGCCCACACAGAGAAGCGGGACCTTCCAGCTCCCAAACTAAGACAGGCTGCTTTTCACAGACTCAAACATACACATGATGTGCAGGCACACGCACATGTACCCATTCCAACAGCCATGATGTGCTCACACACCCGGAGAGAACCACTTCCCACAGGCACAGGGCGGGCAGACACCTACAGGGAGAAGAGTCAGAACTCCCATGGCAAAGGCTTACTCTTTTCCAAGTCACTTCACATTCCAGCTCAGAAGCAATGCCCACACCCCCTCCCTCACCCCCTCCCTCACCCCCTCCTCTCTCTTTCCCCTCCCAGTCCTGCACGGGGTTCCACGAGACCCCAGGATGGGCTGGTTGGGACAAGGAAGGCAGAGTCCGACTGAGGACAACTAGTGGAGGGCCTCTGATGCTGGAGGGCTGTCCCAGAGGTAAGGGGGGGCCAGAACATTGGGGAGCCAGAAGAAGCTGACGAGGGAGCCGAGCTGCAGGAGAATCACTCTGGAGGCCAGGCCAGTGTGGGTGAGAGCTGGAGGCAAGGGGGACGGATGATGAGGCTGGCCTAGCACAATGACAGCGGGAAGAGGGAATGATGGGAGATGGGTGGAGGGAGAAGCGAGAGAACGTGGCCGATGACTTAGTGGGTACTTACTAGGAAGAGCTTTCTGACTTGGGAGGCAGGAAGGGTAACGATGGCAGAGAAGCAGATGTCGGGAGGGAAGGAGATGGTGGACAGGGCTCTGGCATGCTGAGCCAGGCTGGTGGTGGTGGAGACGGGCGTGTACGGATAGGCAGGCAGGAACACAGATGGGAGCTGGAGAGGGAAGGGTCAGGGGGAGGAAGGTTGCCCCAGACTCCTCTGTGGCCCTCAGGCAGGAGTTTCCACCCAGAGGGAAAGGTCTTGGACGTGGAGAGTTTACATGAAGCTGAAAGGGAGGCATGGCTCGGCCGGGCCTAAGCTCAGACACCTCTTCTGGAAGGCTTCCCAAGCCACTCACGTCTGGCCTCCAGACTGAGAAGCTGGCCCTCTGGTCAGTGCTTTAAAAGGGCTGGAAGGACCCAGAGGGAGGCTGGCGACCGTGGAGATGGCAGTGCCTCCACCCCGACTTAAGCCTTATTTAAGGCCGGCCTCCGTGTTTGGTTGGGTAATGAACTAGATAAACAATTCCCCAAATAGATTAAAACGAAGTGTAACTTACAAAGGCGGCCGGTGATGATGGTTTATTCCCGGGCAGTGCACCATTTCTTTATTTCCAAGGATAATTCAGTGTAAATCACCTTAATTAAAAGTGTCAGCCCAGCCCATGAATATTGTACTTAGGAACGCGTTTCCTGGGTCCCAGTTATAATTTAAAACCCATGGATCACTAGGCAGCGAGTGACTGAGGCAGGGAGGAAATCGTTGGGGGCGGTCTGCGGAAACGGGGAGGGACAGGAGGCAGAGCTGAGTGGATGGGCTGGGCGGGAGGCGGGCTGCCTGCAGCTCCTGGGCTCAGACCTTGCCTCTCCGAGGCGGGTCCTTCGCCAGACTCCTGTCTCTAGGGGACCAGGCACATCTGGAGGTGATAGGGTAGTTAGAGGGAAGGTAGGGAGGGTGTGCAGGCTCAGAGAGAGGGAGGAACCTGGGGTAACACCAGCCTAAACGAGGGAAAGGGAAGAGAATCGCCAGGAAAAGATCCAGGGAGCCTGGACATTCTGACCCTCAATGTCCCCATTTCTGTTCATCAACAGAGTAAAGTAAGGCCCAGAGTCAGCGGATCCACTCCGGAGCCCAGGGAGAAAAAGCTCTCTCTCATCCTAACCCCTGGGCATGGTTAGGGAGGCTGGCTGGGCCGTGGGAAAGCAGCACTCCGGGCTCTGTCGGACATGAACACAAATCCAGATTGTGTGAGCAGAGAAGTGTCACTTAACCTGATAGTCAACTTTGTAAAATCCCTGTGAAGGGTGAGATAGCACCTGTGACATGCCGAGCGCGGGCCGGCCGCAGGTGGCGGGTGCACCATGGTCATGTTCATGTCTTCCTTTTGTGTTCCAATCTGCTTCTGCTCAGGCAGAAACACTCAGAGCTTCGTTCGGGGGTCCGGTGAGAACAACGTTGCAACACGCGGGTGCCCGTGTCTGTATCTGCGGGGCCAAGCCCTGTGCCCAGCACGGGGAGATGTCAATGCTTGTGGACTGAGGGAATGAAAGAGTGAATGCACGAGCTACTTGTTCCTCAAGAGCAGCCCGGTTTCTCCTCTGGATCCCCCGGACCTAGATCAGGGCCGGGCGTGGAGCAGGAATACCAGGACCATGTATGAACAAGGTGTCACTGAATGGAACCTGGTCTGTCCGCCTGTCCTTCCCGTAGTGTGATGCTCTGCCTTACACTCAACCCTTAGGCTCACCCTGCTGCTGAGCCGGGGGAGGGGGGGGCGTGCCTGCACTGTCACATACATGTCTGCGTGGGTGTGTGTCCGTGCGTCTGCCATTGTGGGTGACTGCGTGTCGGGGAGTGTCGGTTCTGTATGTGAGCATGCATGTATGTGGATGTGGATTGGGAGCGGCTCTCCATCCGGGTAGGGGGGCTGTGGTGAACGTGTCTTTATGGACGTGTCTCCGGGAACAAGACTCTGTGCCCATGCATCTGTTTGCTTGTCTGAGCACCGGATGTGACCACACGTATCTACGTGACTGCTAACAGCATGTCAGAGAGACAATGGATATGAGTATATCTGCCTTTAAACAGGAGCTTCTCAATCTCGGCACTATGGACGCCTTGGGCTGGATAATTCTTAATTGTGAGGGGCTACCCAATACACTGTAGGATGGTGAATGTTGCCTACCCACTAAATGCCAATAGCAAACTCCCCACCCCATGGGATAGCCATCAAAAATGTCCCCAGGCACTGCCCAATGTCCCCTGGGGGCAAATGGCCCTGGTTGAGAAGGACTACATTTTTCTGCATCTGCCTATACCTTTGCCTGTGTGTTGGGTGTGTCCGTGTCTGACCCTGAGGGTGCTCCCTGTGTGTACGCCCGGTGAGTCTGTGTCTGCCCCCATGTGCTCTGCCCTGGGTGTGTGTCTTTCTGCTTTGTGGCTATCCGTGGGTGTGCTTTACCCGGACAGCTTGTACACGTGTCTGTGCAGGGACCCTGTGTGAATGGGCTGTGTCTGCTTCCGTGCGTGCATCAGTCGTAGCACCTCTGTGTGCATGTATTTGTGTGTGTGTGGCAGGGGGGGGGCGAGGATTGAATGAGTGCACGTGCATGAATGTGTGAGCACAGATGTGGTGAGCATAGCGGGGGCAGCAGGGAGGGAGGGACAGGAACAGGGATATTAATGTTTCTGAAGTGGATCTGATTTGATACGTCTTGTTCCATTGTCAGCATCTGTTTAGCGGGGATTTGTAATACTTTGTGGCTCCGGATCACTCATGCTTAGCGCGGGATGTGGCCTTGCATACCAATTTTGTTATTAAACACAGTCCTCGCCTCCCCCACAGCCCATCTATCACCTCCTGCCCCCGCCCCCGCCTGCTCCAAGTCACCCACCATATTTCAGGGCCCGGCTCCCGCCCGCCCGCCGCGCCGATGCCGCAGGGCCTGGGGCTGACAAATTGAATCAGGGGGAGATCATTCCTGGCCTAACGCAGTTTGCAGCGTGTTGGAGGGAGAATTGACAAGAGCCATGTCAGCTCCATCACCCCAATCCCAGAGGAGCTGAGAGCAGGCTGGGGATGCGGGGTGGGGAAAAGGGAGTGTCCAGGACAGGCAGGATCTTCAGGGCCGATACCAGGGGTCAGGTAAAGCCTCCTTCCTCAGCTCCACTGGAGAGCCCACCATGTCTAGTGTCTGTACCCCCTTCCCAGGAGCCAGCTCTGGCGCTGAGCCCGATGGACACTGAGCTAGGCAGAGTGGAGCTTGGCCAAAACGGGCTGGGCTAGGCTGGCTGTGCCTTTTCCTCTTGGGGTTCTCGTGTTCTCCTCTCGCATGCCCGGGGCAGCAAGTGGAATGGTCACCCTGTTCTCTTCTTTCTTGGCAGCAAGAATCCCCTCCTGAAGGATGCCATGGCCCCAGGTACTCCCAAGGTAGGTGGCCCATCGTGTGTTCTTCCTGCCCATCCTCACCCGGCCCACCCGGAACTGGCTCCTCTTGAGGATAAAAGGAGCTCTTCCTGGAACCCCAACTGTCTCTAGGGTTTCAGCGTCGGCCCGAGGCCTAGGGCTGCCCGGTGCGCTTGAGTGCTGTGTGTGTCGTCTGCGTATGAGCCAGGGTGTGCTCATCTGACTTTCTCCTCTTCAAGGCAGCACATGGGTTAAAGCCAGAAATGGCCTGGGGGTGTGGGGGATCCAGACTCTAAAGCAGGGGAGACTCAAAGGAGGAAGTAAAGGGACATATAGAAATGCAGGCCAAGACAGATGGCATAGGGCCTTCGAAGGGAAGGAGGGAGGGAGGGAGGGAGAGAGAGGGAACTTTGTCCTGAGGGCAACAGGAAGCCAGAGAGGATGCTGAACTCATCTGGGGAGACAATCTGCCCCTCTGAACAGACACTATGGGAGAGAAGTTTGAAAGCATCAGATGGAGAAAGAAAAAGTGAAGGACAAGTAGCCGGCTCAAAGGAGGGGCTAAAGAGGCCTCAGCACAATCACATGACTTATACCAAAAGCTCCCCATAGGGGGCCTCAGAGACAGGTGGTATTGCTTCCCCAAAGGGGGTGCTTTTCAGGGAGTGGGGACCTGGGGAGGAAGACAGTGAGTGTCCCCTCCCTCACACCTCAGCATCCTTTCTCTTACGTTCTCATATGACAGGAAAGGCAGGAATCCCTAGTCCTTTTTATAAGGAGAGAGGAGTGAGTGTCAAAGCTTTGGGAGTGGGTGAAATCAGTGAGGGAGGGTGTAAGGAGAGATTAGAGCAAAAGCCAAGAAGAGAATCCGGGGACTCCTGCATTGGGGGTCAAGATAAGGTACAGCAGCCCTGGCCAGTGTGGCTTAGTGGGTTGGACTGTCATCCTGGACACCAAAAGCCAGCAGGTTCGATTCCTAGAGGGGGTACAGCCCAAGTTGATGGTTTGATCCTGTGTTGGAGGCAACAAATTGATAGTTCTCTCTCACATCAATGTTTCTCTCTCTCTCCCAGCCTCTCTCTAAAATCAATTTTTAAAACAACATTTTTTAAATCATTTACTCTTTTTTTTAATATATTTTATTGATTTTTTTTTTTTTTACAGAGAGGAAGAGAGAGGGATAGAAAGTTAGAAACATCGATGAGAGAGAAACATCGATCAGCTGCCTCTTGCACACCCCTCACCGGGGATGTGCCCGCAACCAAGGTACATGCCCTTGACTGGAATCAAACCCAGGACTCTTCAGTCCGCAGGCTGATGCTCTATCCACTGAACCAAACCGGTTTCGGCTAAAAAATAAAAAATAAAAAAAATAAAAAATAAAAAAGATAAGGTACCAGAGACAGGAAAGAAGAGGAACAGTCATGAGTTAGAAGGGGCACAGAAGAACATGGTATCCCAGAATCCTAAGGGGGAAAAGTTCCAAAACCTCTGGTATGGTCAGCAGTCAGAGAAGCTGGAGAAGGAGGTTGTTGTGTTTAGGTTTCTTAAAGGCACTGGTCCCTCTGAGCGGGCAGTTTTGGGGAAAGGATCATATTGCCTCCGGGGTTGTCCCAGCTCCCCTGCAGCCTTTCTAAAGGGTGGGAATGGACTTTGCACCTTCATTCGGGGAGATCACCCAACACACAGCAACCAGGAAGCAGAGCCCTCCCAGCCCTAAGAGAAGAGGCCGGGCTGACAGGCAGCTGTGGATCACGGAGGTGGGGAGCCACACTCTGAGCCTGGCCCGGCTCGGAGCCTTCAGTAGTCATGGTTACGGAAGCAGGTTGGTCACGGACAAGCTGCCAGTTCTGCCATCACAGCCACCACTGACACCTGCTATCTGAGTGTGGCTGGCAGGGCTGAGACGTGGACCCCAGCAAGGCTGGTGCTAAGGACAGTCGTGGTCCATGTTTATACCCAATCCCCATGCTCACAAGGCACCCCCTCCCCCCCCAGATCAGAGCCACTGCCAGAAGGGGGAGATTCCTGCAGCTGCCCACACTCCAAGGCCCCTTCCAGATGTGTGCTCCACCCCAGAGCTGACATTTCAGGGTCTGTCCTCTGCCTTGACTGAGGCTTTAGGGAAGCAGGTCATGGATGGAAGAGGCGCGAGGTAGAAGGTTCAAGCCAGAGACTGAGAAGACCAGGGACAAGGAGGAAGGGAGGAGGAGGAGAGGGCGAGGGAGCCTTCGACAAGATTGATGGCCTCGTTGCCATTAAGAAAAAAATTAGCCGGTGGCGGCTATCATATTAAAGGGTGAAGAAGCCGTGAATTATTTTCTTAAAGATCTTATCGCTTACAATGATAATTTTACCTTCCAAAAGGCCACTTTTAATGAGGCGAAGAGCCAGGCAAAAAGTCATGATTTAATGCCGGGATTTTTTTTTTTTCCAAAGCACATTTTACTGCTTTTTGGTCCATGTTTAAAAAGCGCCAGTGACCTTTTTTTATTCCACTTGCCCCAGGTGTAATGCTGAGGCCTCTCAGGGCTTCTAGAGAGAAAGAGGGGTGTGTGGGGGATGTGGGGGGGGGAGATACACGAGCCTGCACTTTCTTACAGTGGGGAGGGGGGGCAAGGGTACATTGTTTCCCCTCCTCAGCATCCTCCTCAGGACAGAGAAGGGGAAGGAAAGGCATTGCCCAAAGCCCGCCTCTCTTCTGAGCTCAGGAGGTGGGGCGGGGGGGCCAGGTCACCTCCTAGGCCTCCCCCTGGGCCGGGAGGGTGGAGAAGAGGCTCCCAGAGCAGGGAACCCCACCCCAGGCCCTTCCCAGCCTCCCTCCTGCAGCTCGGAGCTGAGGCCAGCAGCTGCCCCCTCCCTTCCCGGGCCCTTGCCGGAGGATGCCACGGCATGCGGGTCACATCCTACGGCTCAGTCGGAGATGAAGGATAAATGGCTGCTCCATCTTTCCCAAATTGCTTTCTTTGGGCTGTCACTGGCGATTTGGCATGGTTTTCTAGGCTGGGGAGGCCTCCTAGGGAATTGTATGCTTCTGGCTCTGAGCTGCACAGGCTGGAGAAGGTGGGGGGGGGTGGGGGGGCGCGGGCGTATGGATTGCTCTCAGGCCTCCAGGCCCCCACTCTGCAGCTGAACAGGCCTTGGCAAGCACCAGCGAGAGCAGGCGGAACGTGCCATGTGGTATTTAGAACCGTGATGCTCGCACACATTTTAAAGCGGACAGTTTATTAATCTGAGCTGCGGGCGTATGTAGAAGAGGCCGCGTAGGACTGACATGGGGGGATTAGTTTTGCTGGGGGTTTTGCTAGGGTCATCGTCGCAGCGTGGGGATAAATGGGCCCAGCGTGCATCCCTAGCTGCACGCAAGAAACTCATACATGCTGTTTAATGTACTGTCTCCATTGCGGGGCTGCCAGCGGCCGTATTGGGGGCCGGCAGGGCGGCCCGGAGGTGGCTTTACCCCCAACCCTTCAGGGGGGGTCCCGGAGTCTCTGCTCACTAAGAGAAAGCACAGCATGTTAAGCGTCTCTGTGGGTAGGCTGGGAGTCTTCCCCACCCGAGTAGGTATTAGATGGGATCTAGGAGATGTGGGCCCTCTCAGGGGTTCTCTACCCACCCTGAGAACCAAGCCATCCTTTCCCACAACCACAGTCCCAGGACCTGGCCACATGCCTTCAGAATCTCCGGTGGCCCCTCTCCCCGCCACCCTCCTCCTCGCGGCCTCTCTCCCAAAGCACCACAGGAGTGGAAACGAGGGGCCTGACTATGGGTCTCCTTCCGCTGAGGCCGCATGTCCTTTCTCTCCTTCCAGTCCCTCCTGCTGTCTGCTTCCATCAAGAGAGAAGGCGAGTCTCCGACAGCATCCCCACACTCCTCCGCCACCGACGACCTGCACCACTCGGACAGATACCAGGTGAGGAGCGGGTGAGGAGTGAGGTCCCTGGGTGAGGCCTCGCAGGCAGGCCTGGTACCAACGCCTCCCTCCTCCGGAGGCAGAGAGGCCTGAACTCCCTTCGGTTCCCTCTGTGTCTAGTGTCCCTAACTGAACCCGAAAGGCACAGGGGTCGGGGAACGTGCCTTACACAGATGGACTTGAGGGAGACATTGCCAAGGTCACCAGGCTCTGGTGGGCGCTCAGCACCTCTGAAGCATCCCGTCCAGCAGGACGTATCCTGTAGGGTTCAGTGTCATGAAGGACCCAGAGACAGCCGGAACTACCTGAAGACTTCACACTTCAAAACCATGATCCCCTGAGCAAGCAAATAGCCATTCAATCCTGCCAAACCTTGGTATCAGGCCCAGACTGGGGGGAGGGGGGAAGGGGAGGGGGGCACTGGAGTTAGGGTTGCAGGGGAGGAGGGGCAGACATTGCCTTGGGCAAACAGGGAAGGAAACAATCACACCATCCTAAACCATCAGAGCAGGCCTATGGGTAACAGCCTCACTCTGTTTTGACCTTTTTTGTGATAGGAAGGAGAAAGACCTCCCCCAGAAGTTTCTCCTTCTGAGGAAAGACAGGGCACTGCCTAGGAGCCCCCGTCAGATGGAGGGAAGCAGGGCCCTGCTCCAAGGAACACATGTCTATATGGCAACAGGCCTTCCCCGGAGCCCCAGGGCAAAAAGAGAAAAACTGTCCTAACTCAGAAGCCCTGATCTGATGCAGAAAAACAAGGCAGCAAGGACCCATGGCCTGGGGTAGGGAACCCCCGGCATGGCTGGCACCCGTAAAACCGTTGCTGGAATTAGAGTTGTTCTCTCCGAACACCCTTTTCTTCCAGCTGACACAGCCTGGCGTCACGGGGCAGAGCTTAGAGAGGGGGGGTCCCATACAAAGGCATCCAGTGGAGGAGATGCCAGCTTCCACTGGCATCTCCTCCACTGGATGCCTTTGTATGGGACTCAAAACGCACAGCCCAGAGTGCCAACCTGGGGAGGGACCCCTGCTCTCAGGAACCCTGGTTTGAGAAAGGCACTCAGCCCGGCCCCTGGGAGACAGGATCCTCACCCAGGCAACCCTGGTTTGAGATGGAGGAGTGACCCAACCCTAGAGCAGTGTTTCCCAAAGTGAGGTACAAGTACCCCCAGGGGTACGGGAAGAGTTTGGTGTACCCCTTCTATAATTTCCGGTACGTGTTGCACCGGAGTTTGGTGGGGATATGCACTGCACCATGCTTAGCTGCGCCTCATTCTACACTCTCATGAGTACAGGGGTACTCAGCATTACAAAAATTATAGAAGGGGTGCACATATGTCAAAGGTTTGGGAAACACGGACCTAGAGAATTCTGGTCTGATGTGGAGACAAGACTCTGTCCCAGAAAGCCCCCCTCGAAGGCCTGGACAGAGCCCTGCTTCCAGGGACCCATCCTCTCAGCGTCAGTCAGCACTCAGCCTCGCCCGCCAGCTGACGGAGTCAGACAGGGTCGCCATCAGGCCGAGGCATGGCATGCTAAGGCTTCTGTGATTTAGATTCAGCCTGTATTCCCAGCGTCCATTCCTCATACTGCCCTCCATGAATCTTATGGGCTACGCTCGCCGAATTAATGCTAACTACACCCTGGTCATGCCATTCCTTTCTTGCCTCCGTGTTATGCACATGCTGCTGCTTCTAACAGGACTATTTCACCGCCCCATCCCATTTTTATTTACCCTTCAACAACCCGCCTGAATCCCATCACCTCCAGGAAACCTTTCCGAGTTAGCTGCCTCTTCTCCTGACCCTGAGGTGTCCCTATTATTGTCCTTACCAACTTTTGCTGTGTTCCCCCTTTAGGTATATTTTGGTTATCCACTGATGTATAATAAACCCACCCCAAAACTTAGTGGCTTACCACACTTTTATTATTTCTCATAATTCTGTGGGTTAACTAGGCCTTTCCTTACTCCTGCAGCTCATTCAGCTGGAGTACTGGCTGGGCTGGAAAGTCCCACATGGCCTAACCATTTATCTGGAAGATCGGGGGACCTTCCCCATGGCCTCTCCTCCTCCAATAGGTTAGACCAGCTTCCTGACTTGGCAGTGTCAGGATAGTGTCACACCAAGAGGGCAAAGGTCAAAGCTACAAGGTGTCTTTGAGACCCAGGCTCTGGAATTCACACATCCCTTGACAAAGTGTCACAAAGCTAACCCACCATCACGGGATGAGAGGTAGCTCTCGACAGGAGCAGGTGCAAACAATAGTGGCCACGTTTAATCCATCACAAGGAGCCTGATTCTTCCACTAGACTTGGAGTCCTTCCAAGGCAAGGACCTTGTCTTATCCTTCTTGACTCCCTTCCTTTACTCAAACGTTTATCTGCATTCACTCACGCTCAGCCCAGTGTCCTTGCCTTCAAGGGGTTACATTTGCAAGTAGATAATTAGAGCCCAGTGTTTTACATGCTGTGACAGGGATATACGTTTCTAGAATTGCACGGGGGACAGAGGAGAAAATCAGTCAGAGCAAGCTTCACAAACAGGGTTTCAGAGGTAAAGTAGGAGTTCACTTTGGTGAACAAGGAATAAAGGGTATTCTAGACCAGTGTTTCCCAACCTTCTCTCATGATGAGAATCACCTGGTGGAGTTGTTAAAACACAGATTCCTGAATCCCAACTAAGAAGTGCTAAACTAGAATTTTTGAGAACATATAGGTAAAATTGCATACCTAACTTAGTGCTCTGTATATAAAATCTGTCTTAGAGCACTAGTTAAGTATACAATTTTACCTATATGTTCCCAAAAATTCTAGTTTAGCACTTCTTAGTTGGGATTCAGGAATCTGTGTTTTAACAACTACACCAGGTGATTCTCATCATGAGAGAAGGTTGGGAAACACTGTTCTAGACCAAGGCAACACTGTCTGCAAAAGGCAAGGCATACAGTATAGCCCAAACAAATGTATCTGAGGGGCCTGCTATCAGTTCAGTTTTGTTAGAACGTAAAACACAAGGAACACTGGTAGGAGGTGAAGTTAGAAAGTGCTGTAGGGACTAACTGGGTACCCTATCACCTGATCTTTACACAATTCCTGACATGTAGTAGTTGCTCAATTGTATTGGATTTTTCTTTTTTTAAACTTTTTTTTTTTTCCAGAGAGGAAGGGAGAGAGAGATAGAAACATGAATCATTGATCTGCTGCCTCCTTCATGCTCCCTGCTAGGGACCCAGCCCACAACCCAGGCATATACCCTTGACGGGAATCGAACCTAGGACCTTTCAGTCTGCAGGCCGATCGCTGCTCTCTCCACTGAGCCAAACCTGCCAGGCAGATTTTTCTTTTTCTTTTTTTTTTTAAACATCAAACTCAGCCTCAAAATCAGGGGTTTTGGTTTCTTGTTTGGAGTCCGGTTTATTTAGCCCCTGCTGGGTTACCTAATCTCTTGACCATTTCATCACCTTACCCTCATAAGCAACTGTACAAGCTAGGATTCATTGCCCTCCTATTTATTGCTAAGAAAACAGGTCTAGAAAAAAGGAAGTGACTTTTCTAAGAACACATATATTCTTAAGAGTAACAGAGTCAGAATTTGAGTTTGAGTCTGTCCATCCCTGAATCCCAGATTGTTTCTCAGCCCTGCACTGGGCTCAGGGGCTTCCCTCATATGTTTCCTTGTCCCCTTCCCACTATGATTTCCTGCTAAAACGCTGTTCTGGGTGACTAGGTAGACCTCCCAAGAAGAAGGGACAGGTATGTAACCAATCAAAATGTTTAAGATCAGAGGGAAGCCAGTGGATTATGAAAACTCAGAGGAAGTGCCCTAGCCAGTTTGGCTCAGTGGATAGAGTGTCGGCCTGCAGACTGGAAGGGTCCCGGGTTTGATTCCTGTCAAGGGCACCCGATCTCCAGTAGGGGGCATGCAGGAGGCAGCTGATCAATGATTTTCTCTCATCATTGTTGTTTCTATCTTTTCCTCTCCCTTCCTCTCTGAAGTCAATAAAAATATATATTTTAAAAGATCTCAAATAAACAAACTAGCCTGATACCTCAAAGAAGTATAAAGGAACAACTATAAATAAACATGATTAAGCTAGTTTGTGCAAATGCAGCCTAAGGCAAAATGTGCAATTAAGAATCAATAATAGAAATGGCCAAAGTATACACAATTAAAAAAAAAATTAAAGAAAAAGAAAACTCAGAGGAGGCAACTAACCCAACCTTGAGAGGAAGAGAAGCCTTCCAGGCTGGGGTGGGGGTAGGGACCAACCAATGACCTTGTATGCATACGTGCATAACCTATGGACACAGAGGATAGGGTGGTGAAGTCCTGGGCAGCGGGTGAGGCGAGCCAGAAGGATAAATGAGGAAAAAAGGGACAGATGTAATACTTTCAACAATAAAGATTTTAAATTTTAAGAGAAAGGGAAGCCTTCCAGAGTCCTGCAGGATGAGCCACAGTTAACCAAGCAGTGGGTGTGGAGGCATGGAGGACAGCCTAGCCAGAGCATGGCGTGCTCAAAGAGCTACAAGCAGCTCTGCGCCACTGATGTCAGGGGACACAGAGAGAGCAGGAGCGCTGGAATAAGAGCCTGGAGAAGCAGACGAGGTCAGAAAAGGCCTGCGTGCCACCCCGCAGAGCGTACAGGTGGAGAGATTCAAGGAAGCGGGGAGGCAGGGTCAATGTTGAATACAAAGATAACACTGTGTATAGTTTGGAGGGAGAGAAACTGGAAAGCAGAAGGCCAGATGTAAGACAGCCGCAAATTCGTAAAGTTCATAAGATTACAAACTGACGCAGTAACATCCAGATAAGTACAGACATTGGAGAAGCCCTGGGGGATGGCATGCCTATGGCAGGCGCTGGGCTTGGGTCCCCCGTGTGGCTCACACACGGCCCTAACCCTGGGTCAGAACGCTGGTAAACCGTGAGTGGCTGTCATGAAAGTAAGGATGGAAGTAGTCTAACCAGAGGAAAGGGTATTTTTCGGAGAGGCCCGGAAGGTCTGAGGAGGAGATACACAGAGGTGGAGACAAGTCTTTTTGTTACTGTTGTAAGAACCTGAAAGGTAGACTCTCTGAGACCTAGCCGGCTGAGTGTTCAGAGGAAGGAAGGCGGGACCAAACACCGCTCCAGGTCCCGGGGTGAGCACGCCTGGGTGAACCGTGTGCCCCTAACGAGGGGCACCGGGAAGAAGGCGCCTGTGCGGGGGTGTTCCACGTACGCCACATGGAAGTGGTGCCCGGCGGGCACCCCAAGTGTAAGGTCTCCTCTAATAACGGGGCTGCAGAACGGGAGGGGCGGGACGGGGGCGGGGCCGGGGGGCGGCGGCGGGATTAGCAACGCACACCTGGCCGCCCCGGGGCAGCCTCGGCGGGCGGGACCGCGCGCTGGGAGGGGCTGGGGCGGGGCCGCTGCTCTGGGGCCCCCGGTAGGTCCGGCCGGGGGTGGGAGGAACCCTCGTGCAGGCCCAGCCGGTCGCTACCGGAGTGCAGCAGCTGCTTCCTGGTCCCGGTCCGGCAGCAGCCCCACCTTGAACTTTCACCCCCGGCGCGCGACGGCGGCGGTCACATGACCAGGGCCAACATGGCCACCGCCGCCGCTGGGAGCTGAAGTGCCGCCGCCGCCGGGCAGCCGGGGGGAATCCGCTCGCATCGCCGCCCTCGCCGGCCGGGCGGCCGCGGGGCCCGGAGCGCCGGAAGCCGGGGCTGGGCCGGCACCGCGCGGCGGCCCCGGGGTCCCGTGAGAGCAGCCCCCGGCGGCTATGCCGAGGGCCCGGAGCGGCCGGCGGAGCAGGGGGGCCGGCGGGAGGGAGGAAGTAGGTTTGTTTACGGGCTGTTTGGGGCGGGACTGGCCCGGGCTGGGGTCGGTGTGAGGCAGAGGGGGAGGCCGGGACTGCAGGCCGCAGCTTACGCTCTTCTTTTTTTTTTTTTTTTTTTTTTTTTTTTGCATCTGCCCGGGCTCTTTCCCCCCCAGACCTTCCTGCGAGTGCGAGCCAACCGGCAGACCCGACTGAATGGTGAGTCTCAGCCGGCCCCTCCCTCCGCCCCACCCCCGGCCTCCTCCCTCCCTCGCTGCCTGCAGCTCCTGGCTTTGCCTGGCTCTCTCCGACATTGGGGCCCGTTGGCTTCCTCGCAGTCGCGGTGCGTGAGTGTGCGCTAACCAAGGCGGCCGCCCTCAGTTTCCCCATCTGTCTAACGGAGATTATGGTTCCCAACTTTTGCCCAAGCCTCTCTAAAGGCCTTGAAGAGCCCTGGGGGGCAATGAGTGCCAGAGAATGAGGAACAAGCTACACAATTCCACTCGGGAGCCCGGCTTTGAATTTGCAAACTACTGGGACCTCACTGTACAAGCCCGCAGGGCGCTGAGAATGTTTTTCTTCCAGTTTTTAATCAGTGCCCAGTAGTGTGAATGCGGCCTCTCTGCTGAGACTTGACAATGCAGTGAGATCTGGAGTTCCCACGGCAACAGGAACTAACTCATCCCGGGGCTCTTTGAGTTATCAGTCGGCCCACATTTCACAAAGGTGATCAGCGTGGGCTCAACAGCTCTGTCTGAAAGCGCACCGTGTATGCACTGCCTGGCAGGCCCCCTTCTTTTCCTCCCCCCCACTCCCCATTCAAACCTCTGGAGTATTCCTATTTGCTGAGCAGGATTGAATGAGCCTGGCTTTTTGTACTGGTCTAGGGTGTGGTATGTCTGGGGTTTGGCTGTAAGGGGCTTAGGGTCTCTGGGCCAGCTGGTAAATGATTCCCAACTCCTGCCACTTAGTTTCTGCTGCCAGGCTGAGCCTCATTCTGGGAAAGGGAAAGCGTACGTTATGGGCTGACACCATGTTGAGCATCATCATAACACTAATAAGAGGACGGTGTTAACACACGTTTGTGGGGGGGGGGGGGTAATTTATTTTACAGAGAGGAAGGGAGAAGGATAGAGAACTAGAAACATCGATGAGAGAAACATTGACCAGCTGCCTCCTGCACACCCCCCACTGGGGATATGCCTGCAACCAAGGTACATGCCCTTGACTAGAATCGAACCTGGGACCTTTCAGTCCGCAGGCCGACGCTCTATCCACTGAGCCAAACCGGTTTTGGCTAACACACGTTTTGTAGATAAGGAAACTGAGGCTTGCAGAGGTGACACTGATTTGTTTAAAATCACGCAGCTGAGATGGAACTGAGCCATGATTTAAAGTTTAAATTTTAAACTGAAGTTTGTTTACCTCCAAAGCCTGGGCTTCTCCAACCACGCCATGCTATCTCCATGGCAAATCGGACTTGACCTACTCAGAGGCTGCCTCTGGGTAGGGAGTGAAACTTTCCCTACCCAGGAAAGTTTGGTTATTTTTGGTGAGAAGATACCCAAACCTACCTTGTTTATCAGAGAATTTCCAGGTGATGGTTAATCCGTCAGGGTGCTTTCCCGGAACCACAAGGGGTCATCTGTTCTGGGTGGCCTGGGTAAGGAGTATCCACTGCCGTGCCCTCTTTGAAGATTCTGTGAGAATCAGTTCTTTATTCAGTCATCACAGTATTGATTATAGTCCCCTTACAGGCCCTCCTTCGGGCCCTCCTATTAGGCATGACAGGTAAAGGACCTTTTTATTCTTACACTGCTTCATACAGACTTCTAGCACTCTCAGGGTCCTTCACTCCATGCCTTTCTGATGCCCTTTCCCCAGCCCCGCTCTGTCTCTAGAGCAGAGATTGTTCAACCTTCTCATCCCATGGCACATGTAAACTAATTACTAAAGTTCTGTGGCAAACAAAAAAATATGTTTTTTGCCATGATGACAAAAAAATTGATATAATTTTGGTTCATTCACACTGGAAGGCTATTGTGTTGCCTGTAGTCATATTTTTTTTTTAAATATATTTTATTGATTTTTTACAGAGAGGAAGGGAGAGAGATAGAAAGATAGAAACGTCGCCGGGACCGGTTTGGCTCAATGGATAGAGCGTCGGCTTGGGGACTGAAAGGTCCCGGGTTCGATTCCGGTCAAGGGCATGTACCTTGGTTGTGGGCATATCCCCAGTAGGGGGTGTGCAAGAGGCAGCTGATTGATGACTCTCTCATCAATGTTTCTAACTCTCTCTCTCTCTCCCTTCCTCTCTGTACAAAATCAATAAAATATATTTTTTTTAAAAAAGAAAGAAAGATAGAAACGTCGATGAGAGAGAAACATCGACCAGATGCCTCCTGCACACCCCCTACCAGGGATGTGCCCGCAAACAATATATATGCCCTTGACCAGAATCGAACCTGGGACCCTTCAGTCCACAAACCGACACTCTACCACTGAGCCAAACCGGTTTTGGCTGTAGTCATATTTTTTAAAATAATTCTTTATTGTTGAAAGTATTGCATATGTCGTCGTCGTCGTCCCCCCCTCACTCCCACCCGCCTTCACCTCACCACCTTATTGTCTGTGTCCATGAGTTATGCATATATGCATTCAAGGTCTTTGGTTGATTACCTCCTACCCATCTCCCGTCCTCCCACCCCCACCCCGGCCTTCTTTAGTCATATTTTTATTTAACAATCTAAGGGAAAAGAGTAAATAGTCAGGTGTTGCATGTTTTAAAAATTCAGTGGCACACTGGTTGAAAATTGCTGCTCTAGAGTGTCAAGGTGGCGTGAGCCTGAGATTTCAAGGGTTAGGACAGTCAAGGCAAAAGAATTTAGATCTGTATCCACAAAACCAAGTAAGGCACCACATAATCACATCTGTAGCAAAAGCACAGGAAATTGGAGAGATGGGCCAGGCCATAGGCCAAGGTTTCTCAAACTCCATGCTCAGTCCTCCTGGGATAGTAACTTTCCTGTTGAGTTAGGTCTTTCTAGGACTCCTCTGTTTCGGAGTTGGAATGGCTCCCTGCCTCAGACCTCCAACAAGCGGGAGCTGGACCCCAAGTGCATATTCTTACTGCCCTGGCACACTCAACGGGATCGATCTTTGTTGATGCTGATCAGTCAAGGGGACTCTTAAGACAGGAAAGCACTTTAGGCTTATGGTTTCCTCTCCTGCCTTTGCCCCTTTTAAAAAGTACCTTGATCTCTCTGAGCCTTGAGTTTCTTGATCTGTTAAAATGGATAATGCGCCGGGACCGGTTTGGCTCAATGGATAGAGCATCGGCTTGGGGACTGAAGGGACCCAGGTTCGATTCTGGTCAAGGGCATGTACCTTGGTTGCAGGCATGTCCCCGGTGGGGTGTGTGCAAGAGGCAGCTGATTGATGACTCTCTCTCATCGATGTTTCTGACTCTCTATCTCTCTCCCTTCCTCTCTGTACAAAATCAGTAAAATATATTTAAAAAAATAAAATAAAATGGATAATGCATCCAACCTACAGGATACTGAATTAAATGAGCTACCTCGTGCAAGGTATTTGGCTCTGCACCTAACAGAATTGAAGTTCTAATTATGTATTAATTCTCAACTGTGCCCCCCTCCCATTCATGAGCTTCCCCCCAGTCAGTGTCCCTGAGAAAGTTCTTCCTGGCCCTGCAGTGGGTAACTTTTCCTTTCTTGGCTAACTCCCCTCCCCCTAATCCCAATCCGTCTGATCCCTGAGCGGCTCCCTCTGCTCCTGCTTGTTCATCCAGGGCGGGGCTGGAAGGGAGAGTCCCTTGTTTTGACCCCTTCCTGCTTCAGTGACAGGAGGGCTGCAGAGAGGGATTAGTGAGCTAATTAGAAATGATTGCATCTCTCAGCATTAATTAGCAGTGCTGTGGGCTTGCGGTGTGCACTTTGGAATTGAGCCCCCTGCGGGACAGCATGGCAGGCAGCCCTCTGCCTCGGGGGCCTGCCAGCCCCTCTGCACTGATTAGAAATGATGGAACAGGTTGGGGTAGGCACAGTCAGGCCTACCCTCTCCAGGTACTGCGGCCTTTCTGACTCGCACTCTCTGTACCTTTATGACTGGGCCTCGGTCTCCTCTTCTGTAAAATGGGACCAGTGGCCATGAGAGAAATCCTTCCCGGGATGATCCTAAGACAGACACCTAGGGCTCTTGGCCCAGGAACAACGTGGATTTTATGATGAGCGAACAGCAGGCCACAGCTGTTCTACAGAGTTCTCTAGAGTTGTACAGCTCGACACCAAAGAGCCCGTGGTCTTCGGCCTTTAGGGGAGATACCTAGCAACGAGGAGTGTCTTTGCTCATTGGACTTCTTGAATTCTGCCGGTTCGAGGTCTGGGTGGGTTGAGCTGGAGTCAGCTGTGATGAGTAGCATTTCGCTTCCCTCACTCCAGTCTCCTCCCCAGGTGCTCTTGGCAAGTGCCAGTCCCCAAAGGAGAAGGTGCTGCATAATGAGGGCAGATCAGGCACTGAACACAGGGGCTAATGGCTGGCAGGGGGTCAGGAGGTATCAGCTGCACTGGGACCCGGGGAGCTACAGTGACCGTCTGCCTGTTCTGTGCTTTGTTTTCGGTTTCTCCATGCAGCTCGGATTGGGAAAATGAAACGGAGGAAGCAAGATGAAGGGCAGGTATGTCCCCTGTGCAGCCGCCCCCTGGCAGGATCGGAGCAGGAGATGAGTAGGCATGTGGAGCATTGCCTTTCTAAGGTAGAGGGGCCATCACCACCCACCTCCCCCTCCCTTCCCTCATCCCCCTGAGACTAGTCGCTGACTGCCTCCAGATCTATGGGCTGTTGGGGTCTTCATGTGGTCTCAGCAGCTGCTTCTCTCTGTTTTTGCTCTTTTCCTTTGCTTTCACTTTCCCACTCCTCCCCTGGGGCACCAGTGGCAAATGATCGGGAAGAGGCCCAGGTCTGTGACCTGTAGGTTGGTTTACTTCACAGGAGCCCTAGAGCTGGGGTTGGCGTACCACAGCTGGGGGTCAGGGTTATGCCTTCCTTGCAGGCCCTGGGGGGAGACAGGGATGGCCTGGGACCCACATGATCCTGCTCTGCTCTTCACAGAGGGAAGGCTCCTGCATGGCTGAGGAGGATGCTGTGGACATCGAGCATGAGAACAGCAACCGCTTTGAGGAGTATGAGTGGTGCGGGCAGAAACGGATACGGGCCACCACTCTCCTGGAAGGTGGTTTCCGAGGTACAAGCAGCCGGCACACAGGCAGTGGCGCTGGTGGCCAGGCCTGTGCTGGGTATCCATCTGTTGGGAGCCAAGAGGCCAGGGCTGGTGGCTGGTCATCCGCTCCGCCACATGGGAACTGCAGCTGGGAGGGCTCCTTTGTGACTGTGCTGCCCGCCTGTGATGTGCATATTAAAATGGAAGTATTTGGGTGGGGAAATGGAATTGTGAGGCTGTGAGCTAGGAGTGACAAGGGGGGCTCTCAGCCTCGGGTGATACATTGAAGGTGACAGCCAAGCCACGTTAGCACCTGCATAAAATATTAAAGGGACGGTTATGCATTTATCACTCTATCCCTCTTAAGGCTGATAAATGAGAATCCAGCAACCTGATGTACACCTCCAGCACTGGGGGCCCTGAGGGCTTCCAGGCAAACACATTGGATTTTCCTCCTCTTTCTCCTCCTCCTCCTCCTCCTCCTCTTCAGCCCCATGTCAGAGAAATCAGTTACAGAGGAGAGAGTGAGTTATGGCAAAATTTGACCTCCTATGAGCTTCATTGGTGAATCTAATTTTAGCTCTGTTCCCATCCCTTCTGCATGGACCCCTCTGCCCTGAAGCAAGAGGGGCCGAGGCCCAGCTGCTCCCCTGCTTCCCTTGGGTTCTCCCCAGTTGTGCAGAGAGGTCTGCAGGGCCCTGCCCGGCTTCAGTGCCCTCCCAGCTCCTCGGAGGGATGTGGTGTAGCCCAGTGGGAGTCCCCCACTCACACCAGATCAGAGAGCACACTGGTGCCCAGGGTCAGGGTCCTTTTGTCAGCCTCCTGCCTTGGGCAGGGGAAGAGGAAGCTATGTGCCTCCTGGCCTCCAGCTCTTCTCTCTCTCTCTGCTCAAGCACAGCTGGCACTGCAGCTTGTGGTCATTAAGCGAGCCGGTCTGCTTCCCATCTGCCTCCAGTTCTCTGGGCATCACCCTGAGAATACTGTGTCTGGTCTCGGGGGGGATCTCATAGCAGCTGGGAAGAGGGGCTGTGTCTCTGGGGCCCTGCTGTTGGGGCCGGTGCTGAGGCCTGGTCTTCACGGTGCTGTCCAGTGCAGACCGGCTACACGAAGGGCTCCAAGCCCAGGTGGGTTATTATGCCTCTGGGCTCACATTATCCAAGTGTTTGGGGACAAGCCAAAGTATAAGTCAGGAAGGTTCGTCAGACCAAACGGATGAGCTGAGGAATGTTTGTTTGTCGTTTCACTCTGGTCCTGTCCTGGAGAAAGCAGCAAAGCCCAGCGTCCCGGGAATTGCACACAGCGGCAGCCCCTGCAGGGCTATTCCCCGATGCTGCGCTGGGTTCCCTGTGCTGGCCGCTGCGAATAGTCACATCCTCCATTGCTGTGGCAACTTCTTAGTCAAGGTTTCTTGGCACAGAACGACCTGATGGCTTCTGGGCACCAACCAGGGCTTAAGGGGGTGAAGCTGCAGAGGGCCTGATGATTTGACATGGTATTTCCCCTACACCGGGAGGCATTGACAGCAGGTACGAGGGACTCCTAGGCCCTGGGCGGGTGTCAGTTTTCCCTGAGTGTTTACACTGTGAGGTTGTTCCTTTCAAGAATTCCTGAAGGGAGTTCAAAGAGGGCTTTTCTTTGAGCGATTTGGAGAGGGAGAATGAGAGTGAGACTTGAAGAGGGAACAGGGGCCAGAGGTGCCTTTATCTGCAGAGAATTGCTCCAGCTTTCCTGATAGAAGCTGCTGCCGCCTCTTAAACAGCTTAGTGCAGTCAAAAGACAGGCAGACTTGAAAGGCTGTTTTACAGAGAGATCAGCGGGGGCTACAAGGCAGCGCTGGGCGCAGTGGAGCGGAGGCGGCGGAGGCTCCTCCGTGGGGCAGGGGGGTTGGGGGACTATCAAAGGCAGCCCTGGCTCATCCTCACTGCCTCTGCCCCGAAAACCTGTCTGCAGAAGCTGGCCATCTGTCAGTCTGCCCTCCCTGGCCAGGACCACTAGGCCCCAACTCTTGGGGGGCTGGGTGTGGCCCGCCAGGCGGGCTGGTGTCAGTGCATCGCATTGATCGCCCGCCGGGCGGGCCGGGCCGCAAGCCGGGCAGCGCGTGCTTAATGTGATTGAAAGGCAGTTAAAATGGCGGTGACCTTTTCAGGAGGAATTAGATTGCCTGCCAAGACCGGTTAGAGGGAGTGATAACGCCGGCTGAAGAAGCTGCCTGGCCGACTTCAGAGAGAAGGGAACAGAAGCAGGATGAGCAGGCAAGCAGGGAGGCCCATTTAAGCTGTGCTGTGTGTGCTGACAGAACAGAGATTGCTGTCCTTGTTAGATATGAAAGAATTGAAGAATTGCAGATAAGTTCCTGTATCTGATTGTCCCCTACCCCTCCTCCCAGACCAGGGCCCCTTCGTCTTCCTCAGTAAAGCTTCCCATCAGGCCCACTGGGAGCTGGTCTGATGGAGCAATCAGCGATGGAGCCAGTGGGCAGGCAGGAGCTTTGGCGGACACACCTGGCTGAGGGGAGCGGGTCTTGGAGATGGGGCCTGTGGTTAGTGAGGGTGCAGCCCAGATAGCTCAGACCCGGGAGTGCTGGGAGTTGGTATTTTAGGACAGAATGAAGAACCAGAAGGAGCAGGTGAGCACCGAGATGGGACCAGCTGGAAATAGAGTAGACCTTGAAAAGACTAAGGAAATGGGGAAAGATGTCAAGAGAGCAAGTTGGAAGAAATTTTCAGTGTCTAGGAAACACTCTGGCCTTCCCAGTGCTAGGAGGAGCTCCGGGCTGCTGATTGTCGTCTAAGACCCTTAAGTTTGCTGACCTGCTACTGCAGCTCCTTCCCATCCAGTTATAATTGCAGGCAGGCTCACACACAGCCTGTGCTTCACAGCGTTCCCCGAAAAGAGCTCAGCGGTGAGGAGGAAAAGATGCTCTGCTGGGCACCATGCCAGCCCTGGGCAGAGCAAGGGGCCTCTTGGCTAGAGCAGCAGGCCACAGGGAAAACCTAATCCTAACAGCCCTTGGAGCAGGCCGGCTCCTCCCTGCAGTCCATGAGATACATCGTGAGTGAGCCACACCTTCCCTCATTTCCTGTCTCTGGAGAAGAGATTTTAAGGTGGTAAGATTTGATCCTTTCCCTGTATTGGTTGCCAGTGAAAGTTCCACAGTTTTGAGGAGCCTGGAGCTCATCATAATCTGAAATGGGGAAAGAGAGGGAGGGAGGGAGGGAGGGGAGAAAAAAACGGACAGGTTAGAGAGGACATGGGAATGGTTGGTCTCGGATAAGGTGACAATGATGTGGGGGGCACATGAGCATTAAGATAGAGGAATTTCCCAGCAGGCTGCATAGGAATGAAGGTGCTGCACTGTGTCTGAACCCTGAAGGGAAATGCATTGCTAGAATCCAGCATTGAGCTCCTTTGGATCAAACAGGTGGGAGGGCCTCTGCTCTGTCCAGATCCTGGCTGAGGAACTGCATCTTCCTTGAGTTCTTATCTTTAACTTGAGGCTGGTTCCAAGTATCCTGGGTGAGGTATCGTGGAGCAGATAGGCAGGGCAGCTTAGGTTCAGATTTTTTTTTTTAAGTGCATATGGCTTGATAAAACCAGAGCCAGGTTATAATTCAAAGGGGTGAGAGGTATTGTGAGTCCAAGGGCACAGAAAAATAGGCCTTGCCCTAACTGCAAGCTCCTTGGCGCGTTGGTGTCTAAAAGATGGGAGGCCCAGGTGCTAAAAGTGTCCCCCAGCACAGCCCCTCTGCCCGGTCCAGGTAGTAACAGGTGTTGGACTCCAGCTGCTGAAGGCAGTCTTGGAATGGAGAGAGTTAGGCTGCTGCCTTCTCAGTCCTTTAATTATCATTGCTGCCTGGTGGGAGGGGTTGGAGAGGTGGCAAGGAGCAGGGCACCTCTGTCCCCTGTGACGACTAACGGGATTTAATCGCCGTTTGGAACACAATTGTTAAGCTGGGACAGAGGGAGTGCAGGCTGAAGGAGCATGTATCAATGGTTTTAAACGGCGTCTGTCTCTCTGCGTCTCCCCTGACGTGAGGCAGTGAAACGCGTTATCGAGGAGGCCCGGAAAGTGGCTAAGTGCGTTTGACACACGCCAACTCCCTGCCTCCACACTGGATAATTGCATTGTCAACTGTTCAGTGAGGTGGCAGGTGACACTGCAGGCCGATTGATTGTCCCGCATCGCAGCTCCCCAGACTGTCAGCTCCCCAATCGATGGCGTTTACACAAGACACCGTAACTGCATCTGTAACTAATTCCAGTGTAAAACTCTCCGGAAGCTGCTGCCCCTGCCCCCTCTCCCCTTTGGAGAGCACACACCTCTGGAGGGACCCAGGACTTCCCTTTCTCCCTAAGTTCTGGTTTTGCTGGAGCAGTAGGTGAGGAAATCAGTGGGTCCATTTTTGTGGGTTTCAGGTTCCAGGACATTACACCCCCAGTAAACAGGCGTCTCCAGTTTCTCAATCGATTATTTGATCAATTGATTAAATTAACACTGATTTTTTTTTTCTTTTTTCCCCCTTCTCAATGACCCAGGAAGAAATGAGTTTATGGGAGGGGGGTCATTTTTATAAAATTTAGACTTGCCTATCATTTCTGCACTTAACCCTCTCCTTCACCATCTCTAGGAGTTCACTCGGCAGGAAAGTATTTTTCGCTTTGCCTGCCCTCCCAGGACTGGGACCCACTGTATTGAGCATCACTGACCACCAGGCTTAGTTTGCCTGGAGGTAGCAGCCCAGACCTTTGTGCCACTTTAAGGTGGGGCCAGCCCTAGCCGGTTTGGTACAGTGGATAGAGTGTCGGCCTGCAGACTAAAGGGTCCCAGGTTCGATTCCGGCCAAGGGCACATGCCTGGGTTGTGGCTCAATTCTCCCCCCTCCCGCCCCCAATAGGGAACATGCAGGAGGCAGACAATCAATGATTCTCATCATTGATGTTTCTGTCTCTCTCCCTTCCTCTCTGAAATCAATAAAAAATATTTTTTAAAAAAAAAAAAAGGTTGGCCAAACCATATCAAGGGACCTCCTTAGCGACTACAGGGTACCCTGGGTCATCTTGGAGGTCCTGGGGGCTGAGTCCCTCCCTGGGCAGAGCAGCAGCAGGAGTGGCAGCTTGCCTATTATCCCCCAAAGCTACATGGAACAGGAGCCAGAGGCTTGGAAAGGAGCTCCGTGCCATCTTGCATCTGAGTACTGGCTTGGGATGCTCCAGCAGCTGAGAACATAAAACGACTGTGGAGCCTTCCTCTCCAAGCGGGGAGGGGGTGGTAAGCTGGAGGGGGCACTGTCTGCGTAAAAACGGCTTTATGGCCGTTTCTTTTTATTATGATTCTGCCAGAAGTCAGCAAGTGACATTTCATTAAGAAAATAAAGTTTAATGTGCTGGGAAGGAGGTTGGAGCAGGCTGGGCAGCACGGGAGTGAAATTGGCGGCAGCCTGTTCTGAACACCTGTGGGGGAGGGAGGTTCCCAGCATCTGTTTCCAGTAGGGGATGGTGTCAGGGTCAGAGTAAACTGCTCAGACCAGAGTCAGCCCTTTTCCACGTGCTCTCTGTCCTGCCTGGCTGGTCAGGGGAACACAGGGTCGCCTGGGCTGGTAGGGAAGATCGTGCCCTGAGAGGTTTCTCCAGGCCACAGCTAATCGGGCCTTGGCCTGCCTTCTAGCACAGGCTCCTAGGCCCTACTGGAGCTGCAAGTAGCCATTATTGCTCCAGACCTGTTGTGGGCCTGGGCAGCTCTGCTGGATGACGCTGAAATCACAGTAGTGAGTCATACTGGGGCTTTCAAGCTGGTGAGGGACAGTGACAATAAATATGATTTTGCCGAAGCCGGTTTGGCTCAGTGGTAGAGCGTCGGTCTGCGGACTGAAAGGTCCCGGGTTCGATTCCTGTCAAGGGCATGTACCTTGGTTGCGGGCACATCCCCGGTAGGGGGTGTGCAAGAGGCAGCTGGTCGATGTTTCTCTCTCATCGACATTTCTAGCTCTCTATCTCTCTCCCTTCCTCTCTGTAAAAAATCAATAAAATATATTTTAAATAAATAAATAAATAAATATGATTTTGCAGTTGCATAGGAAAGAGCACATTTAAAAGCAGTATCTTGAGAAATCTCATCCATACTCAGCACCTTGAGGGTAGGGATCAGATCTTGGGAACATCACACCCGAGTTCCCTAAATGGGCCAGAGGTAGGGGTCCTCAGTATGAAGCCAGGCAGAGGATGGGTCCAGTAAAGGTTGAAAGAATGTTGTTGAGGTGTGAGTTCATTCAGGAAGTATTTATAGAGCAACTACTGTGTGTAGGCACTGTGACTTAAGAGTAGAAGGCATGGTTGAGCCAGCCAGACTGTGGAGCAGGAGGGCCAGGGTCTAGGCAGAAATAACGGGAGGTCTGAAGGCAAGAGGAAACATGTAGGGTTTGGGAAACTACAGTGACTGTGTTCTGCTGGAACATACCAGTCCTGCTCCAGGCCTGGCGGCAGTAAGGCTGAAGAGGAAAGGACTTGAAGCCACAGGCTGCTTTAAGTGTTGGGATACCTGATTTCTCAGCTTTTCCATGGGTTCTTTGATTTCCGTTTTGCCCAATAGGCAGGGCTGGGTAGGGCCAGGCTGAGCTGAGGATGTGAGGCTGACTGCTGAGCCGTGTGTACTTGGGGGAGGGGGGTTGGCAGGGCTTGGGGGGGGTACACGCTGTAAGTGAACCTGATAGCTACATTCTGATTGATGGCGGAGTTTGTCTCCCAAACTGTCAGAGGGTTTATAGAGGTGCCACTCACCTACAAGGCAGGAATTGCTTGTCAGGACACCTGGCCGTGAACAGGAGACAGAGCTGTAACTTGGTGTTTTCTCAGCTTAATGGCCCTGCTGCTGACCTGCCTGCGTTTGTTGATGCCTTGAGTATGGAGGTCAAATGAGGACTGTCAGAGGGGGTGGAACCTGGGCATGCCTAGCCTTTCTTTTTTCCTGGTGCTGTTTACCTCTGGGATGGGTGGGACCTTTGTCAGGCCAGAGACCAGACACAGAAGGGAGAAGGGTTGGAAAGAAAATGTTTTTGGAATGGGCTTGAAAGATGGAGAACATTCCAGATGGAGTGAATAGCATGAGCAGACTTAAGAGCAGGACATGGAGAATTATGCTTAAGGTGCAGTAAGTAGTCTGTCCATATGCATAGGGCTTGTGGAGTGACGTGAGGAAAAAATATCCTAATGGGCCTGGCTGATGAGCCAGGCTGGATTGTGCCCTAGTCGGTTTTGGAGCAAGGAAAAGAAGGGCCAGAACTATATGAGAAGCAGCATGAAGGAACAGACAAGGACCCATTAGGAGACCGTTACCCTGGTGAGAGTGTAAGAGCCTGGGAGTGGAAAGGAAGAACAAGAAATGTCTGAGATATCAGGCAGAATTCCCAGCTTCTTCCTCGCCTCTTTAAGGATTTCCTTTCTGATTCCACTCCTGACACATCCCATTGCCTTCATCTTTCTATCCTAGAAGGGCTGCTTTGTGGCCAGTGAGAAGTGGTCTGAGACCACGAGGGGCTAGTTCACGAAACCACTTGGAGCAGTGAGTTATGCAGAGTGAAAGGGACTAACATATCAGACCGCTTCTGAAGGAAGGCAGGTGGAGGGAGGAGCAGCTTTGTGGCCTCTGACCTGGGCTGTCAGGAAGAGAAGTCCTGGAAGATAGGCCACAGGATGAGTGAGTGGGCCTAACGTGGCTTCCACAGCTCCCGCCCCATTGGCCAAGAGTGCCTGTGGCTGGACCAGTTGCATCTTGATGGGGTCAGCTGCCTGCCTCCGCCCAGCCTGGTTGCCTTCATGGGCTGCTTTGAGAAGCAGGTGTGCATGCCTCTCCTCTCATCTGTCCCTTCCTAATCCCTTTATAACTGCACTTGTCCAGGAATCTGGGCTGAGTGAGGTGGAGATGAATAATTAATGTCAGTCGCTTCAGACACCAAATATTTGAACAGCTGCCTGGTGTTTTCGCTGGCAAGGACCTGGCAGCCAAAATCAGGATGTTGACTGGGGTCCCGCAGCCTGCTCTCCCCTCTGATGGACTTCTCTGTCTGGACCATGGGACACAAGGAATGCCAATGTCTTGGATGGCGTGATCTTGTAAGACCAGAATTTGTTCTCTTCCTGCTCTTCCTAGAGCTGGACAGCAGGCCTGGGTATCTCCTGGAGACCTGAGATAGTATTTGAAGGAGCTGGTTTATGAAGCCACTTGGAGCAGCAAGCACAGGCTGAGAAGGGACTAAAGCAAAAGGAACTAAAATATCAGAGGCCAGAGCACCTAAGTATCTGGCTCTCTATATTCCAGGCCTACATTTCTGTCTGGGCCTTATCTGGCCCAAAAGTTAACCCCCACGTAGGGGCAACAGAAGAGACACCTTGGCTTAGTTTTGTTGGCCCCTGATCCTCACATCCTGCTTCCCACAGGCTCTGGCTTCGTCATGTGCAGCGGCAAAGAGAATCCGGACAGTGACGCCGACTTGGATGTGGATGGGGATGACACTCTGGAGTATGGGAAACCACAGTATCCTTGGGCACTGGGACAAGGTGGGGCTTGTGGGGTAGGCCAAAGGGAAAGAATAGTAGCTAACACCTCTGGCATTTACCCCCTCTCCCTGGGGTCAGTGTCTCAGTTCTGGCCAGGATTCAACCCTCCAGGCCTGCTGCAAACCAGGGTCCATTGTCCTTGACCACCATGCCAGATACACGGAGGCTGACGTCATCCCCTGCACAGGCGAGGAGCCTGGTGAAGCCAAGGAGAGAGAGGCACTCCGGGGTGCAGTCCTAAAGCAAGTGTGGGCCCAGGCTTGGGGTGGGCTAGAGGGGGATGGAAGCCCTGAGGCAGGGGTCAACCTGATACCCACCCTCAGGGTTGTCCTTGCCTGCCTTCGGGGCTCACTTTATTCTTTCTCTGCCCTTTCCTCTAGTGGCGGCCCTCCCAGCACGCGCATCACACCTGAGTTCTCTAAATGGGCCAGTGATGGTGAGTATTAACCCCGGTTAGGAGGAGTAGGGGAAAGGAGACATCCTTTGGGTAGTGGTGGGACTCAGGCCCAACCCCTCACCGATGCTGCCCAGTCTGGCCATAGTATGAGTTGCCTCTTATCCCAACAGAGATGCCGTCTACCAGCAACGGGGAGAGCAGCAAGCAGGAGGCCATGCAGAAGACCTGCAAGAATAGTGACATCGAGAAGTGAGTGGCCAGAAGGGGAAACTTGGGACAGCAGTTCCATAGGAAGAGAGGGGCCACCAAGGTTCCAGGCCCTCTCAGTCCTGCAGCCCTGGCACACAGCCGACAGAGGGCCCCGCTGGTGCCAAGCATGACTCTGAATTGATCACTGGGCCTCGGCCCTGGGAGCCTCGTTGGAGGGAGGAGCAGCCCACCCGCCTGCCTGCCTGCCTGCACGGCGGCCTCCACCCGGGGATGTGATGTATGGCCACCCAGCCCAGCCGGCACACTTGATTCATCTCCAGTTTCTGTTTCTTAATCGGGAGCTAAATTGGTTTCATTTTTCTTGTCCCGGGTGGCGCTTGCAGTGGGTTTTAGGCAGGAGCGTTGGGTCTCATCACTTCTAGTTGGAATTTTTGGCCTCGGTTCCCTGGCAAGGGAAAGGGGACTGACTCCCTTAGCACTTAACCCAGGGAGCCTGGCTCCCCAGGAGCCACAAGGACCCTAAATCAGCTGGACACTGTATTGCGTTTCCAGAAACCCAAGCAAGGCCAGTTCTAGCCTCAGGAGGTGGCACTGTCCAGTTTGAGATGTCTGGAGCTGCTGCCTTTGGCCACTGTTAGCTCCCGCACCCATCCTCTCCCTCCACCGAGGCTAGGTTGCCTGGGGTTAAAAGGCAGCCTCTTCATTCCTGGACCAGTGTTCCATCTTGCCTTCTGCCAGGAGAGTGGATTGCAGGCCGGTGCAGGGCCGGGTCGGTGGCCCAGGGTCACCTCCCATTTGTTTCCCTCCATTTTGTGTTGTCATAAATTCATTCCAGCCCGTTGTGGTTGATCAGTTTATCTCGGCCGGGGCCGCAAGTGCTGCTGGCATGATGTATGGGCCGCGGCGCAGGGCCCGGCTGCCCATGAATCACCGCAGCTGCTCTGTGTCAGCGCCGGAGCGGGCCGCACGGGTTCGGCGCAACCAGCTTGGGGAGGGGGGAGGAATGACGTATGGATGTTTATTTAATAATTCTCTCCTACTCCAGCTGAGCAGGGCGGGCGGGGCCATAAGGGGCGCCCACCCTCGTCTGAAGGGGCTGCTCATAAATCAGAAAGACAAGATCATTAATCAGGGATGGCGCCCGAATGGGAGGTGGGGGCCAGAGCCAGTGGCCATCCATGAAGGTACTACCCACCCAGAGCTGGGGAAATCGGGATTCTATCCCACCTGTGTGAGCACAAGCAGGGCTGTGGAACAGGTTGGGGACTGGCTCTCAGTCCTTGAATTTGGGTCTGCCTGTTGGGGCCCATTAGTCCCTGTGACTTTTCCTTGTATATAATATGGTTTCCCACTCTAGATCTGTTTCGTAACCCAGGGAAGGAGGGAAGCAGGATGTCATGGCTGCGTCTAGGAAATTCTCCACCCTATGCCCTGGAGGGACTCAGGAATAGCTCACAACCAACCTGGATCAGGGCTGGAAGCAGAGAGTGGAGGTGTGGTATATGCTGAGCAAATCCAGGATCCGTTGGACTCTGGAGTTAGATGTGGCCTTGGAGCTTTTGGAGATGGAGTGGGAAATGGTTTCATTCTCTCCTGGCACCATCCTCTTTGCCTTTCCAGTTCTAGCTTATTCTCTGGTTTGGGGTTTGAGAGTTTTCTACTCTGGGGTAAGCTGCCCCCAGCTCCATGCCTGAAGTTTCCCCTTCTCTGAAATAACCACATAGGACCTGGTAAATGCCCAGTCTTGTCCTTAGAAAGGCAGGGAGCATAGCTACCCATACCTGTCTCATTGTCAGGAATTAATAGCAGTCCAGATGGGGATGGTACATTTGGCATTGGGCAAAATGCCAAGGGAGGAGCCAGCTGCACAGGTGCTTATAAGGAGAGGGGGTGGTTAAGGCTTCCAGAGCTGGAGAGTTGAGTGAATGCTCTCAGGGAGTCAGCCAGAGCCTTTGTCAACTTCCTGGAGAGAGGCAGGGCAGAGAGGATCATGGACTGATGGCTCTAGAATATCCCTGATAGAGGGATACAGCCATTAGGAAGTCATGTTGCTCGTACTACCCTAAGAAAGGTCAGAGACCAAAGTTTGGTGCTGGCTTAAGGTTTGGTTTCTATCCTGTCATAGCCTCTTCCAACATCTTCAACAAGTCTCCATGGCCTGTAAGATAAACTTCACTTTCTTCCAGTTTGGCATCTGAGGTCTTCCTGGATACAGTCTCCTTTCCCACTGTCACCTTCTGCTTACCCACAGGCGAGCCTTCCAGCCTAATGGGCTCTTCGGCTTGTTGGCCTTTGTTCCTGTGTTCCTCGATCTGGAGGCCCATCTCCTGGGTCCAGTCGGTATAGAATAGTGGTCAATCACAATTATTGGTTGACCACAAAATCAGTCTAACAGAGTTTAAATCCCATCTTCCCCATTCTGAACCTTGGGCAGGCTACTTAATGTTTCAGCTCTGCTTTAATTTCTTCCTGTATAAAATGGGAGTATTATAATCTCCTCATGGGGTTTTTGTAAGGTGCAAATAAGGTCATTTTCAATCCCTCAGTACCATCCTGGCATTTAGTAAGTGCTTAATAAATTTTAGCTCTTTTATTTGTATTATTATTATTATTCCCTAAAGCCCTTCTCCAGTACATCTTTTCTATTCCTCCAGGAAGCATTCTTCTCCCTCTGTGAGCTCCTCTACGTTCTATTCACTTACTTTAGAAGGGGAGGGATGGAGCACTCCCTGAGATAGTCCCACTATTCCCTGTTCAGTACTGCAGCCCAAAGAGTCTTCCAGAGGTTATAGGGACCTTGTGCAGTGCCTGGACAACAGGTGAGGACTTGGAAACACAAGTCCTTGAGCAGGCCAGACCTGTACCCCTAGGACCTGTATTATGTGGGACTCATCCAGTGCCCTCATCTCTCACTCTCCCTGGGGTTTGGACTGACTCTTTACTTGGCAAATGTTTGTTTATACTCAAATGTTTGTTCATACTCACGTGCCTAGTGTGGAGCTAATGTCCATAGCCATGTTGGTGGAGTGAGTAGCTTGCCCTCAGGGAACTGAGTTTAGCAGAGATGAAGACGTTTGTAGTTATATTGCTGTGGCGGAGTCCAGTAGAAATGGTGGTCAGTCTGGTTACATTGCTCCTCTCAGGGGCTGGAAGAGCACAGAAGAGGCAGCCACCAGTGGGCTTCTCAGAAGAGGTGGGAACTAAGTAGGCCTGAACCATGAGATGGAACTAGTGAGTTAGGAGGTGGGGATGGACGATCCAGAAGCAAAAAAGAAGCCAAGGGAATTAAAAACTGTGGCATGTGTGAGGAAACTTGGTATTTTTATGTGGGTAGAGCTTAAAGAATGTGGCAGGGGACTGAAGGATGTGGCCGGCTGGGGATGGACCAAGGAGGCCTTTGTAAGCCGGTGAGGAGTTTGGTAGAGCTTTATCCTGAGGGAGACGTTGAACTGTTAGAAGTATAAGTGGTCAGATTTGTAAAACTCTAGGTGCTGGGAGAGCAGAGTGGAATGAGGGGACTGCTGGTACAGAAGCCTGCCATTCAGGTTAGAGGAGTGACCCTTAGAAGAAACGGAGCCTGGATGAGTGACGGCAGAAGCAGGAAGAAGTGAGGAAATTCCGGAGTTCTAGGGACTAGATGAACAAGTCTGGATGTCAGGGGGATCCCTTCTCGGCCTTTTGGCCAAGATCAAGTGAATGTCAGAGGTAAAAAGGATGGTTTAGGAAGGCGTCGTTTGAGAATGGTTCCCAGATATCGTGTAGAAATTCAGCAGGATGGAGATGGAGGAACGAGGAGGGTGAGGGGTTCATTTCTGGAATGTGGAGTTTGCTGATATAGGATATGGGCCAGGGCATCTGCGAGATACTTGTATTTGTATATGTGGTTCTGGAATTCAGGGTGTGGATTGAAGGTTTAGATTAAAAATGCCAGCCTGCAGTCTGCCCAACGAATGCTGTCTTCTTTACAGAATAACCGAAGATTCAGCTGTGACCACGTTTGAGGCCCTGAAGGCTCGGGTCAGGGAACTCGAACGGCAGCTATCCCGCGGGGACCGCTACAAATGCCTCATCTGCATGGTGAGGGGAGGGAGCCCACGGTGCCCGTGGCCAGGCTTGGTGCCCCCAGGGTTGGCAGAGGGTCTCTGCACTGCGATCTGGCCTCTTTAGAGGGTGGGCCAGCCTCAGTGCGACCCCTTCTCCGCCCACCTCCTCCCTAGGACTCATACTCGATGCCCCTAACGTCCATCCAGTGTTGGCATGTGCACTGCGAGGAGTGCTGGCTGCGGACCCTGGTGAGGTGGCATGGGGACTGGGGAATGGGTGGCTGTTGTGGGGTACTGCCCAGATGTCCTTGCTTATGCTTGAGCCTGCTTTGAGAGGAATGAGGAGGGGCGAGGGGGAGCAGGAGCATAGAACACAGCCAGAAGCCAGGACCCCCGCCCCCTCCCCAAGCTTACCACATTCTCGCCTCCCCCCTGTGGGTTCACTGCTTGCTCCCTTCCCTCTACCCTCGCCCCCCAGAAGGGAAGGCCCACTGTGTCATACATATTGGTGAGATCCTGGGTCAGGAGGAGCCTGGGTATGGGGAAGCAGAACCGGGCCTCAGCCCCTCCCCCTCCCGTTACTAAGCTCCCTCTGCTCCTGCCCCTGTTCTTCGCTCGGGAGCAGCCATTAAAATGTCGCCCGGAGACAGCAATAAAAGGCCCGGACGTGGGCTCTGTGTCCTGATCAAAGGCCGTGTGTAATCTCGTTAGGGCCTCGGCAGCCACAGCTGGACCCAGCCTTGTTCTCATTACTGGGGCTCCTGCTGCGGGGCTGGCCAGGCGGTTTGATCCTGGCATCCCCCCAACACAGGAGCGTGCCTGCCTGCTCACAGGCCGCCCGGGCTTCCCAGCCTCGCTGACGGGACCAAGGTGCCAGCACACACTGTACAAGCCCAGGGCTCACGTGAGCAGGCGTGCGGTGCTGTGTGCATCACCGGAGCCCTCCCTGTTCTCCCCGCAGGGCGCCAAGAAGCTATGCCCTCAGTGCAACACCATCACAGCGCCCGGAGACCTGCGGAGAATCTACTTGTGAGCTAGCCGCCCAGCAGGCCTTGCCTCAAGCAGCCCCCCTGCCGCCTCTGTGATGTGACCCTACCCCTTGTACATACTTGCACACCGGTTCCCCATGTACATACATGCACACACGCACGCACACACACAGGCCTCTGGAGCCAGAGTGGATGCGGAGGCCAGGCCCTGCCACGCTCCCACCGGGATGGGGGACCACACCTGTTCCAGGTTCTGTTCCCAGGGTGGGGCAGGGAGGTGCAGGTGGGGTGGGTAGCAGGGCGAGGCTCCTGAGTTCCAGCCCCCAGACTGACCGACTGACAGACAGACAGACATGCAAACACCAGACTGAAGCACATGTAATATAGACGTGTATGTTTACAATGTTGTGTATAAATGGGATAACTCCCCGCCCTCTCCCCTCCCTCCCCTTTGGTTGTATGATTTTCTTTTTTTAAGAACCCCTGGAAGCAGTGCCTCCTTCAGGGCTGGCTGGGGGCTCGGCCCATCCACCTCTTGGGTGCCTGCCTCTCCTTCCCTCGGTGTCCCTTCCCTCTCCCATGTGCTCGGTGTTCAGTGGTGTATATTTCTTCTCCCAGACATGGGGCGCACGCCCCCAGGGACATGATCCTCTCCTTAGTCTTAGCTCCTGGGGCTCTTCGTAAGGAGCTGGGGGAGGAGGCGGCACAGAAATGGGAACCGAGGCGCAGCAGGGGCTGAGATGGGCTGGGTGAGGGTGCTGCTGGCCGCCCAGCCTTCTGCCAAGAACCATTCCTGGGACTCAAGCTACTGTTCCCGGGAAGCGTGTCGCCTCCCCACCCCTCCGTGGGCCCCATGGTGTGATGCTGTGTCTGTATATTCTATACAAAGGTACTTGTCCTTTCCCTTTGTAAACTACATTTGACATGGATTAAACCATATAAACAGCTGCTGTGTGTGTGTGTGTGTGTGTGCAGGGAGGGATGGGTGACGGGCGTAGACAGGCAGCTAAGGGGTTAATCCCTGGCTGCAGTGCAGGGAAGGCCTTGGCTGTGGGGTGTAAAGCAGTACAAGGTTGGTCTGCTCTGCTCAGGGACCCCAGAGCACTGCATCTGTGGGGGTGGGGCTGGGGACCCAGACTCCCGACTATTGATGGGTGGGGGCTCCAGGTTAATTCCTTATCGATGTGGAATCGTCAGCTCATTAATCACAGAAGAGGTCAGAGCTTGGGGTACAGAGGGGATGCAAGCTCTAGCCCCCAATCTCGGGAAGGGGCAGCTGTAAGCTTGGGTGAAAATGAGCCTCTGTCCCTTTCCAGTCCCCTGAAACATCCAGGGACCAAAAATGGAACCACTATCGGCACCATCGTGGCTTTTTCTATTCTGCAGCCCAGCCCAGTACAGCCACTGCCTGGTCCTCAAAGGGAAACAGTAGAAACCCCTATTATCCAAGATGGACCCTCAAGGCAGACAACTGAGGTTGGGCAGCTAGCACTGGAGATGCTGCTTTGTCACGTCATCCCACGACCGCCCCCTGCCCTCACTTGGTGTCTGGTCAGCAGTGCTCAAAGCTGCAGATGAGTGCCCACCACAGAGCTTGTTTTAAGAAAATAAGATTCTGAAATTTAAAACCCCGGTGTATCTCCATTAACTCCAGACTCCTATTTACAATCCTCACATGCCAGGTCTACCCATCGTCTTCCCAAATTGGCTGCTTTGGACACACCAATCTCGGGGGTACCCACGGTGCATACTACAGAATCGGGTCCAGTGGGCAACTCCTACCTCCTGCACTCTTAAAAAATCACCCTGGTTCAAGGCCAGCAGAGTCTCTTCAGAGCTCCATGCCCAACTTGATGGCTCCAAATACTGAACACAAGGATCCTGAGGCCAAGATTCTAGGGGAATGTATGGCCTGTCCAGGTGGAACAGCCACAGTGATGGTTAAGGTTTGGAAAACAAGTGGGCAATGCCTAGTTCCATCAGGCTGGCTCCTTTCAGGTCTCAACTCTCCCCTCCCCCTGCCTGGGACTCAGTAGGTCCTTGAGGGTTGATTACTCCCACCCTGGGGGCCACATGCCCTCTAATAGGGGACATTAACCCAGAGCAAGGGCCTGAAGCTCACCCTGCTCTGGTGAGGATTCTTGAGCTCCATCTCATGGCACAGGCAGCACTGCCACCTGTTGGCCATGGCTAGGAATGCAGCCACAGCATAGGGCTCCCCTGCCAGCAGTTCCAGAGGTCCCAGAGAACGGACATGATGCAAGCAGAACTGGCCGAGTCCCTCAGCCCATCAGCCTGAGAATGTCAGGGCTCGTTCCCACCCAGAGCTTTCCCAGCCATCTTCCCTTCCGGCCAAACTTTCAAATCTCATCACTGCCCCCCAAGTCTTTCGATCACCACAGTAAGCTCATTCAATCAACAAATATTTATTGAATACCTATTATGTACCAGCACTGTGCAGCAGTGACTTGTAAAATGAAAGGTGATACAGAACTCTAAGACTAACGGCACCACTCCTGCCCAGAGAGGATCCAGGTGGGACTCCCTCAAGGAGATGAGGGAGTTTATTTCAGCCAAATGGCCCTTGCCCTGGGTCTGGTCTTCAGGTCTCCTGACCACCTGCCCCAGCTCCCATAGGTTGCTGCTGTCTTCGCTCTGCTTCCCACTCCATCTGCCCAATAAGACACACACTTTGCAGCTCTCCAGTGGCTTCCTGGCAGTGTGGTGTATCTGGGCAGGCCCACCACCGCTGCATCCTCACCTCTCCATCTGGCTTCTACTCAGACTCCCTGGCCGCGAGGGCAGAGAAGTCTGTGTGAACTGCCCAGTGAGATCCATACGAATGGTGCTTCATGCGGTGGGGCTTTGCCTTTCTGGGGCCTTGGAACAGAGATCACAGTCCCTGCCCCAGCCCAACCCTTCCCTCTGGCACCTCCTCACTAAGCTCACTATCCAGTCAAGGAATCAGAATAATCCTGGGGCTCATTATCAATACCACCCCCCACCCCCACCCCCGCTGATTAATCCTAACAGCCACAGGAATCGCAGCCTGACTGCTACACTTCTCCAAACACAACACTGTCAGGCTCCTGCAGAGACATGCCCAGGCACACCGCCCCTACCTGGGACCCTGGGGTAAGCAGACCACCAGTCTCCCCGGGCAGCGCCCGAAGGAATTTTCTACTCAGGAGACCACGAAGTCCCAGAGGGCTGGAAGGAGCGGAACCAGAAGAGGACCCCATCCATGGATACAGGTTGTGAGGAGTGTCAGGCATTTATTTCTGGAGCAGAGGTGAGGTGGGAGGGACAAGGGCCTCAGCAGTGGACACAGCTGCGCATGAAGTTGACGCAGAGGCTCGTGTAGTAGGTAGGGTAGTCACGGAGGTGGCTGACATGGGCGGAGGACACGAAGTCCACAGAGCGCACCAGGACCTGGTGTGCCAGGCGTGCCTCCACCATGCGTTCCACGTCCCTGGCTAGGACCACTTCATCAGCCCTCGAGTAGAGGTAGAGCTCGGGCCAGCGAGAGGCTGCGTCGAGGAGCCTGTCGTAGAAGTGGGTATGGAAGAGGGCGGTGAGTGGAGCGAGCAGGACGTGGAAGAGGCCCGCCACCAGGGCGAAGGCCACCAGGAGCAGCAGGCGCAGCGCAGCAGGCCGGTGCTCCAGGATGGTTGCCAGGGCCCGCAGGGCCCCCGCCAGGTTCCTATCACCAGGCCCGCTGTCAAAGATGGTGCCCACCACACGCAGGTGGCAGAAGCGCCGATGGGTCTGCAGGAGCTCCAGCACGTATCGGTACAGCATGACCCCGGCGTTGCTGAAGACGTGGAAGAGCAGGGGCTCCTTCTCGATCTCGTAATCAAAGAGGAGCTCGAGGAGCTTCTGGGCCAAAACACGGAGTGAAGGGATGCCCAGGGACTCGGAGAAGAAGACCATGTGCCACGGGGCTGTGTATCGGATCACAATGCAGCCCTGTGGAGGGACAGGGTGAGGTGGGTACAAGCTAAGGTCAGAGGCGTCCAGCAGCTCCCAACTTGCACGAGCGCAGAAGCCTAGCAGTGCTCCAGGCCCTGCTGCAGCTGGGCCCCAGCTCACCGCTCACAGACACAGTGCCTTCCAGAGTGGAAGGCTGGAGAACAATCACTTCACATTGGCCAAGCCCCCTCAGCCCGGGATGGTATGTGAGGCCTGGAACCCAGAGCTTTGGAGACATCTGAGCTGAGCAGAAGGAAGTCTCCTCACTCTGGTCCACTTTGTCTCCCTCCCACCCATGATCTTGCACCCTCATCTACTCAGCTTGCTGCCTGGCCACACCCTGTGGCTGTACCTCCCCTTTGCTCTGTGTCTACCTCCCAGGCACAAGGAGGTAGGTACCTGGTAAGACCCAACAGAAGACACAGCCTGCAGGCCCCAGCCTTGACCACTAGAGGCCACTCATGAGCCAGACCCACATCAGATCAGTCTCTGGCCACTGCTACCTTCCTACAGGGCCCTGAGAGCAGGCCATACTTTCTGGCATCAGGTGCCTGGCAATCAAATCTGGTTCCAATGCCTGGGATCATTCCTCCCACTTGCCCTGAATTCCCTGTATAGTAAGCACTATTGTTCCTCAAATTCTAAAATCTGAGCCAAATTCTCTCTAGGTTGATGTACCCCTAAATACGTGGACCAAGTCTCCAGGCCTGAGTCCTAATCCCGCCCATTAACTAGTTCTAGAGACTAAGGGCCTCAGAGTTAGGCTGGCTCTAGGGTCAGGCAGGGCTGGGTTCAATTCTGAGTCTGTGTTTCCATCCATCTCTTAGGGTTATGGTGAAAATGAAATGAAAAAATGTATCTCAAGTGCCCCAAACAGCACCTGGCACAAAGTAAATTCTCAACTAACAGTAGCAGTAAATCATGATGGCAGGACTACTCCTTGAATGACCCATCACCAAACAGGGATGGTCAGCTGAGGTAACTTTTGACTTCCTCCCTCCAATCTGACATTTGCCCCACCTGCTCCTGGCACTGCTCTTACCAGGGCCCTGGAATGAGAAGGGGGCCTGGTGCCACCTGGGCCCTTAGCTATGGAAATTTCACAGAGTGCTCTGTTCTCACTCCCCAGGAGGATGTGAAATGTCTTCCCACCCACACACAGCACATCCCACCTCACTACCACACATGTGACTCCTGGACTAAACAAAGCCCATCCACCACACACCCATGGGTGCAGACAACCAAGGCGCCCACCGCTCACTAGGGTGCACCCACCACAGCACCTGGGAGTGCACGGAGAAGCACAGCTGCCAACACACACCCACAAGCACATATACCACTGGCGAGCACACACGTTCACGGTGCACTAACTTGAGGGAGCGCACGCGAACACACACTCCTCCCCAGGAGAACTACCTGTCGGTTCGGACATAAGCTCAGCAATTCCTGTGAACACCATCTCTGAGGGCACACATGGCGTCCCTCTAACTCCTCATCCCCTGTGATTCACACAGAGCTCGCCCTGGGAATTCCCAACACTCCCTGTGAAGGGCCCCACACACCGAGCTTCCCTGTGCCCACAGGTCTGGGCTTCACTGGGAGGTTCCAAGGTGCCTGGCATCTCTGCTGCCACCTCCCCTGTCAGATGCTCCCAGAAGTCCCTGCACCAAAGACCTGGGTCTCATTGCATGTCAGATCCCAGTCTCTTCTCTCTCCCCCAAAGCCAACCGTCTTTCCATCTCTGCACATGCTCAGTCCCAGGACAAGGCCCTGCTCTGTCACTCCTCACCACTCTTCCCCGTATTCCAGGCTCTTCCTCTCTCTAGATTCCTGCACAGACTAATCTCATTAAAAAACAAAAAACAGCCGAAACTGGTTTGACTCAGTGGTAGAGCATCGGTCTCCGGACTGAAGGGTCCCGGGTTCGATTCCGGTCAAGGGCATGTACATTGGTTGCGGGTACATCCCCGGTGGGGGGTGTGCAGGAGGCGGCTGGTCGATGTTTCTCTCTCATCGGCGTTTCTGGCTCTCTATCTCTCTCCCTTCCTCTCTGTAAAAAATCAATAAAATATATTTTAAAAATAAATAAATAAATAAATAAAAATTTAAAATTTAAAATTAAAAAAAAAAACTTCTGCTTTACACCATGTTACCCTCTAACTCTATCCCACCTTTTCTTCACGCTCCTAAACAAATTCTGACAGCCACCCTCCTCTCCACCGCTTCCCTTCCACTGGCTCCAATATGACGACTGCACTGCTCTTGTGAAGGTCGTCATCTTCTGCCAAATGGTCTAACCCCGTGGTCGGCAAACCGAGGCTCGCAAGCCACATGTGGCTGTTTGGCCCCTTGAGTGTGGCTCTTCCACAAAATACCGCGTGCGGGCGCGCACAAACTTTGCCAACCATTGGTCTATAGCCCATGAGGCTTTCAGTCCCCTCGTACTTCCCTCCCAGCAGCATCTGGGATCACACTCTCCTATGGGTAGCCCGGCTCTTCAATAAGTTGTAGACTTAAAAGAAGGCCAAGGAACTAGATGCAATGGGTGATCCTCAATTAGATTCTGATTTGGGCAAATCAGCTATAAAGGACACTTTGGGGACTATTAGAGAATCTGAATGTAGACTGGAAACTAGATGAGAATTTATTAACATGAGAAGGTAGAGATCAAAATCTGAAAAAAAGTAGGCTGTAAAATAGTATAGTCAATAGATTTCATTTAGGTAGAGGAAAGAAACACACACAGAGAGAAAAGCTGAAAGGATATATACTAAAGTGTAAACAGAGGTAATCGCTAGGTGGTAGAATACTGTGTTTTATTTTCTTTTAAATAATAAAGCAGTAGGAGTTTGGAGTTGAGAAAAATTTTTCTCCAAACCCATCCTGTCCTCCCAGCTACCAGGTAAAGGCTCCCCTTCCTTTCCCAGACGACCCCTCCACTGGCCCTGTCACCTCAGCTCTCTGCCTTCCCAGCTCTGCTCCCTCCCTTTCTCCCCGTGCCTCTGCCTCCATACATCTTTCCTCTCGCCCTCCACAGTGGCCGCTTCCCAAAGGCTCTGGATTCCCAAACTTCCCTGGGTCTTCTTGTCCCTCTTTGGCCACCCCTCCTCTCCTCGCAGGACCTTTATAGCTGATTTGCCCAAATCAGAATCTAATTGAGGATCACCCATTGCATCTAGTTCCTTGGCCTTCTTTTAAGTCTACAACTTATTGAAGAGCCGGGCTACTCAGAGCTGTCTTAGGCCCTCTTCTCCTTGCCCTCTACACACTCCCTGGGGAAGCTCACCCACCAGGACCTATGGCTTCTCCTCAGGGTTCCTTGTCTCAAAAAACACCGCCCTCTACTCAGGAACTGCCGCAGCCAGAGCCCTGGCATTACCCTGGACCCCTCCCTATTCCTGTGCCCACACCCAAGTGCTCACTAATCTACCATTCCACCTCCTAACAAGCTCCCTGATCCATCAACTTCCCTCCACTGGCACCACCAACTCCAAGGTCCTGATGCTGTAACACGTTATGCCCAGCACACCAGCCCTGGTTCCTGCTGCCAACAGTATCAGCCAACAGAAACTTGAGGTCTGGGTGACTCCACTACTGGGAGCACATCAGGGCTGAGCTGTCCACTGTGGGGGATGGGGAGGGAGGAAGGGGAAGCAGGTCAGGGGGCTAAAGGAGACAGACCAGGCCACAGAGCTGGCAGCAATGAGGGGATAAACCTACCAAAGACCCATGACCCCCAGCATCTTCCTCGCAGGCCTGTTCCTATCTTCGCTGCAGCCCAAGCGGGGCCTCAGCAAGCTGTGTCCGCAGCCTGCAGTACTCACCCTTTTGTGGTAGATGGCGCTGTACTTGGCAAGGTTCTTGTCCGTGCAGCCACCCCAGCCCAAGAGAATCACCAAAGGCTGTCGAGAACCACCGTGGCTTGGGCTGTTCTCTGAAACAGACAGGTTACTATCAGTACTGGAGCTGGGGTGGGGGGTGGGAGTGACTGGCTGCAGGCAGGGAGCAGAAGGTAGCAGGCCCAGGCACTTGCCAGCCCCTGTGTCTCGGGTTCCCACAGGCTCCCTCCTCTGCCCGCGGCTTCAGGTGGCCTCTCAGGAGGCAGGCACTGCAGGGTCATTGGAAAAACCCACCTGAGACTCTCTTTAGTGACTCAGAGACACAACCCAGGTGAGAAAAGTGCAGACTTTCTCCATGCAAGTTCACCTTCTAATCCAGGGGCCGGCAAACTACAGGCCAAAGCCAGCCATGGTCTGTTTTTGTATGACCTATGAGCTAAGAATAAAAATACTCTTTACATTTTTAAATGGTTTTAAAAATTCAAAAGGAGTATTTTGTGACACATGAAAATTGTAAGGAATGTAAATGTGAGTATCCACAAATCAAGTTTTATTGGAACACAGCCATATTCATTTACTTCTTGTGTATGGCTGTTTTCATGATAATACAGCAGAGCTGAGTAGTTGTAACAAAGACCCTATGGTTCACAGAGCATAAAATACTTGCTGGCCCTTTACAGAAAAAGTTTACCGGCCCCTGTTCTAATTACACAAACAGCTGGAAGAAGAAGGTGTTAGGAAGAGAAATGGTGGCACAGTATAAGCAGAGAGGGGGAGCAGATCGACTCCGAGGCCCATTCCAAACTACCTCCCTGTCTTGCCAGAGAGTATTAGCTGATATTCAATGAGGTTTAACCTCATAACAACACTCAGAGGAATGTTATTACGGATAAGTAAATTGAGGCACAGAGTGGTTAGGTTGCCTAAGGTCACACAGGCGCCTGCTCCCCATCCACCAGCTCCTCCCGTGATGTGTGAGCACCAGCCAGCTGTCTGCTCTGTACCTGCTCCTGCAGGGCCTCCCTGCTACCTGGTTAGTCAGGGCCCATCTCGCTTCCCCTGCCAGGGAGTGCCACCTCCCAGGGGGACTTCTGTGCAGGGACGGCTAGTTCTCTGCCTCCCGAAAGGACTGGGCTGTGCCCTTCCGAGGACCAAGCCCCCTGGCTGTGTTCAGCTGCCACCCTGAGATTTATGGAGGCCGGTGGTGACCTGGCAACAGTAAATTTCAAGGCTAGTTAAGAGGATGGTAAATATAAATCACTAACCTTTGGACAAAAGGAAGACAACAATTTCCTGTGGAAATTAATGTGATTGAAAAGTTCAATGTTCCTGCTCTCCCGCAGTGGCGACTCCCGCCTTCGGAGATTAACTGCCTGCGCCACGGGGATCCCGGGCTGGGCTGCAACTCAGCCTGCAGCCGGAGCTGCCAGCGCCTCGGTCCCGCCCACGGCTCTAACTCAGGCCCCTCACTCCTCACTGGGCTTGGTGTCCCCCTGTCCTCCGCCAGAGCAGCGCTGGTTCGGATCTGCCTTTGAATCTCCGAGACCCAGCAGCTGGCTTCCTGAGACCTACCCGGGAAGGTTCGGACAGCTCCTGCTGGGCCTCGGACTTGGCCCTTCTCCAACCGCTGGGACTTCTAACTCCATTTTGCTCCACTGCAGGTTGGACTGGCACACTGGGCTTCACCGACTCACAAAGGCATGGCTCTCCCCCAGATACGCATCTCCATGAAGAAACCCAGCGAATGGACGCCATGAACACACTCCTACTCCCACAGCCCAAGCTTTCTGTCGTGGTCCTAACGGGGGGAAGTGGTCCCTCCACTCCTGCCAGGCATTCAAGGCTGCCCGCTGAGCCCCAGGTACTCTGCACCTCCCACTCCCCAGCACGCTCTCCTCCCCGGGCCCTACTTTCTGTGCCCGCTCTGAACCCAGAGCCTTTGGCATGACCTCCTCCCCTGGAGTCACGCGGCCCCTTTGGATTCTACACGTGAAGTGCTGTAACCGGAGAGGCCGGGGTGCCCTGGGAGCGCGCTGAGGGACAGTGACCGGAAAGGCCGCCCAAAGGAGACGCACTGCTGTCCGGGCCTTGCAGGACTAGCGGGAGCGTGCCAGGGGCAGAGAGGGCAGGGGCAGGGCTAGGAGACGTTATAATCGGTCTGGGGCACAGCAAGCAGCCCCAGGGGCTAGCTGACAAGGTGAGGGCGCAGCACCAACGGTCAGGAGAGCTGCCAAGAGGGGGACTGGGCCCAGTCCTGAGGGCCTTCACGCCATGCTCAGGAGTCGGCACGTTATTCCACAGGCAGCAGAGAACGAGAGGAGATTCCGGAACTGGGGGGACGGTACTGATTAACGACTCCCACAGATATTTGTTTAATGTCGCAGCCAGCAGGCTCCGTGAAGGCGGGAACTGGGTATGTCGTGTTCATCACCGCACCCCAGCGCCCAGCTCTGAGGCTGCACATTCGGGCACTCGTGCTGATGGGACACTGGCTGTGAAGGATGGATCCAAGGAGCGCGCCGGCATTCTCCTCGTTACCCATTGCCCCTTCCAGTCATAAAAGTACCGTATTTTTCGGACCATAAGACACTCCGGACCATAAGACGCACCAGTTTTTAGAGAAGGGAAATGAAGAAAAAAAGATTCTGAAACAAATAGTGTCCTAAAATATTTTATGTGCATTAAAACCCAACATCACAGTCATAAACACATGTAATCAACCCTGTAAAGTAAACAGCAGCATTTAGAACCATTTTAGAGCCGGGCAAGCACACAGAGACCACACAGAACCGGGCAAGTAAAAAAACTTTTTTTTTTAAGTATATGTGTAGGCTATATTTGGACCATAAGACGCAGGGACTTTTTCCCCCCACTTCTGGGGGGGAAAAAGTGCGTCTTATGGTCCGAAAAATACGGTAACTGCGATGGCTATTGTTATTTACGGCCACATCGGGACCATGATCCTGCACTCTGCGGAAGCCCCTGCTCCTCTCCCCTCCCGCCGCTGACATCTCTCGGCCTCCAGCCACTCGCCTGGGGCACCGAAGACAGGCCCGGCTCAGCCTCCCGCACACACTGCAGGCCGGCCATGGCCCACCTGTTCCCACACTATAAACCTCTCTGAAGTCCACGTTTCTCCCAGCTCCTGCCCTCCCCCCTCTCCCATTACAGAGAAAAACAGCAACAGCAAAAAGAGCATTATGTGCCAGGCGGTATTCTCAGCACTTTACCTATCAACTCACTTTGTCTTCACAGCAATCCTAGGAACAAGAAACTGTTGTTAGTCTCACGTTACAGATGAAAAACGGAGCCATGGAGATGGTAAATAACCTGCTCAACGTTACACAACTAAGCAGCGAGGCTGGAACCCAAACCCAGGCGGTCTGGAGACCAGCTTACAAGCCTTTCTCAGCCAGCCCCGGGGAACAAAGCCGAGGCCCCAGCTCAGCCCGTTTACGAGCTCGGCTCCAGGCCTGTGCACGCAGCTGCCTCTGCGCATCAACAGGCCCAACACTGACCCCCACCTGCCCCTCCTCGGGACCGCTGACACCGCAGAACCTCACCAGGTGCTGCTCAGCTGGCCCTGCAGCCATCCCAGGAGTTGGCTACTCCTGTTAGCTACGGTCTCCGTCTTACAGGGGAGAAACCTAAAGCTCAGAGAGGGGAGGAGTCCCTCTGCAAGAACATGCAGCCAAAGTGGCAGAGCCGCGCCACACGCCTCCGTCTCCGGGACCCCCCCGAGCTCCTCACTCCCGGCTGATGCTGACGCTCCATGCTTATGCTCTGCTAATGCCCACTCCACCTCTGAGTCCGCTCACTGCTCACTGCCAGGACGCCCCCCTTGATGCCCTCCCCACCCCTTCTCACCTCCACCCCCCATCACCAGAGGGGTTAGATGGCCCTCCTCGGCACTGTCTCAGCACCCACCATCCCCGGCCACTGCGCTCCTCGCTGCCCCGAAAGTGTCCATCAGGAACAGGCCGGAGACTACGGTATCAGGCAAGGCAAGAGATGGCAGAGACCGAGCCAGAGCCGTGGGAGGCAGGTAGGATGGGGAGGGAAATGACAGGGAGAAGAGAGTCACAACCATTTTGGAACGAAAGCATCAACAGTCTCAAAAATATACAAAATCTGACTTAGTGATTCCATTTCTAAGGAAGAAAAATGTTTCATGGAAATATTAATAAAATGTTAAGCAGATCACAGACACAACAAGTAAGAGATAAAACAGGATAAAATATGGGAGGAGGTTGGCATGGCTGGCTGTGTGTGTCATTTCCGGCGACACAGTCACGCGTGGCCAAGGCCTGCAGAACATGCTTAAGCTTTATTGTGGCCACTGCGACATACACCTCCATCTGGGAGAACGGCACGGCAGTGGCAGGAGACAGTGAAAACTACTATCGGAAACGGATGGAAGAGCTGGCTCAGAGCCTGATGACAAAACAACCGCAGCATTTCCGCAAGGAGAGACACCTCCTACTCCGCTCTGCTCCTCCTCCTGGCCCCCGGCCTTCCGGGTCCCCCCGCCCCCCGCCCTCGTATAAAGCCAGCACCCCACATGGGGGGAGGGGGTCTTCCAAGATGCCCATGATGGGTCCTCCTCCTCCTGGGATGGTGCCAGTGGGACCTGCTCCTGGAATGGGCCGCCCAGGGAGAGCACGTGCCAAGGAGCCTGGGCCCCCAAGGATGACGGTGCCCGCTCGGCCCCCAATGACTCAACCAGACAGACAAGGAGAGAGGGAGCCTCTTTCCATCGGTTTCTATTACTTGTTCTACCTCCCCGGAGATCGTGGTGCTGCGACTCTGGGTGTTTCCCAACATCGTGATAAGGAAAAGTCACCCCTATCTAAGAGAGGGGAGTAAAACAAGCAGTTCTCGTTCGTATTGTGAAAAGTGAAAATCAAATGGTCAACTCTTTTAGTTAAAAAATATAGTTATAGGGCCGAAAACCGGTTTGGCTCAGTGGATAGAGCGTCGGTCTGCGGACTTAAGGGTCCCAGGTTCGATTCCGGTCAAGGGCATGTACATTGGTTGCGGGCACATCTCTAGTAGGGGGTGTGCAGGAGGCAGCTGGTCGATGATTTTCTCATCG